CGCAGGCTAATAGTAGCATATAATAAAAGGCTTTAGTTCAGCAAGACTTAACACTGAAACTGTTAGCATCAAACAGCTGCTGGGAAAGCATTTATTTTTTAGGGGCATTTACTCTTGGTTGTATCTGTGGAGTTTTGGTTATGACCCAAAACTCTGAAAAAAGAGAGATGACCAAAATACAAACTTAAGATGTGGTCCAGATCTTACAGCTGGCTTCTCTGCTATGAAAGGATAGTCTGAAACATTGGATCCCAATGACCTGCAGCCTGGGAAGGAGAACCTAACGCTGTAGTTTGGGACGGCTAGAATATCTCTTAGACACAGAGATCTACAGGGTAACTCAGATTTTTGTACTGTCCCTCAGAGGACCCCACTGAGCATTCACAAGGAATTCCTCCCCACCCCCAGCTTCCTCCTAGGAGCAAGAGTTTTGCCACAGCAGATGTGGGGAACAGATGTTGAGAGGAAAAGTTATAATGGGACAATGACCTGAAGTGTTAGTTGGGCTCTTCCTTGACGTGACTGAAGGTCTGTTCTGATGGCAAGGGAAGAAAGCGGCACGTGTCCCCTGCCTGCCTCTGCAAACCCTGGTGTTCATGTCGGGGGGTTGACATCCACAGCTTTTATGTGTTTGTGTCAGATACTCAGTGCTGGATCAGCTGGGAAAGAGAGAGGAAGGGACAAAGTTTTAAAAGCAAATCAGCTGTCATATTTCTGAATTTTGATCTCCTGTTTGACATCAAAGCTTCCCTTTTGCTTCCTCCTGTTGTTCCCCACCTTTCCACCACTGCATCTGTGATGTCTGGGAGACACTCAGGCTCCTCATCCTTAAATGCACCAGTGAGCTAATCTAGTAGAATAGTCCTCAGTGGCTGAAGATGAACAATAAGAGTGAGCTTGGACAAAAAAAGCTTTTCACCATTTCTCTATTATCAGCGTAGAATATATAAGGTGTTTTTTTTTCTTCTCTATCATTTTCTATTTCAGAAGGATTTCTGCTCTTTGTTGGCTTGTGTTCTGGGTTGAGTGAGTGGTGTTTTTTTGGTGGCAGGGGAGGGGGCTATCGGGGCGGCCCCCTGTGAGAAGCTTCTCGAAGCTCCCCCAGCTCCAAGCCAGCTCCACTTCTGTTTGGGAAATCGAGCCCATCGGCTGGGAGGAATTCATGTCAGAGAAAGTTTGTGCAGGACTGTCTCCTGTGAGAGGGGGACCACGATAGAGCAGGAGGAACAAGTTCCAGACACTCCCCTCACCGAAGATAAGGGGGCAGGGAATGGGGGGTGCAGAGCTGACTGCACCCCCCATTCCCTGCCCCTGCGCCCCTGGGGGAGGAGGTAGAGACATTGGGAGCAGAGCTGAGCCCGGGAAGAAGGGAGGGGTGGGGGGAAGGTGTTCTCAAGATGTGGCAATGCTTCTCACTGTCCTACTCTGTTATGTGTTGTTAGTGTCTGTAATAAATGTATGTTTTTTTTCTTCCCCTAACGAGTCTGCCTTTTGCTCGTGATCATAAAAGGGGGATTTTTTCCCCATCCCAGTCCTATCTCGAACCCCAAGCCTGGCTCTCTGTCCCTTCTCATTGCCAGAGGGGAAGGGAGAGAGAGGTGCTGCATTGTGGTTGGCTGCCAACCAGGCCCAAACCACGACAGTTTTGGAGAAAGATGAAACATTAAGTTGATATTTAATGTGTTATGAGAGAGGTTGACAGGTAAGGCCAACTTCCCTACTGAGGGAGGCATTCAGGACAGGTCTCATTCTCCTTAGCTTAGTCTATCATAAGAGACTATGAATAGTTATGTTTATTACTGAAAGGAGACCAATCATCAGTAGAAGCCTGAAATTTTTTTATGGCTCTTGAAATGGGAAACTAAGTATTTGAAATACTATAAGAAGGTGCCAATTCTGTGAGCTACTTTCTCTCCCCAACACGATGGCTTCAGTTCTCTCCAGTTGTTCTGTGGGGCAGTTTTGCACTGTTTTTTTTTGTAGCTTTCAGAGAGATTGGGCTTGATGACCTTTCTTGAGGTTTCCTTCCAACCTGACTTATTCTCTGATGGTATTACAGACATCACTTGTGCATATTTATTGCTTTCTGTCTTTAGTTTTACATTTGCTCTATTTTCACAGGGCATTCCCTGTTATTCACGGGGGTTTTTGGGTTTGAATTCAGTGCAGGGCTCAAAGGCACACACCGTCCTTTCCATGTGGCACAGTAACTTCAAACCTTGTCATGAAAGGGCACTTCTTACTCTAGACTTTTCTTTCTTTGCTGTTGTTCTTGTAAAATGATTGACAGCACTAGCCAGTCAGCGACATGGGGCACATCGGCTCTGCACGCGCGAAGTGGTCGGTGTGTGTGCCGCGTGTGCCAGTGGTGCCTTGCACCTTCCTGGTCTCACCTGTGAATGCTCAGTGTTCAGCGTGGGGGATATCTGACCTAGCTGGTCAGCATCTGTGCATCATCTGATACTTATTATTCTTCAGAATATGTGATGCAGTGCCGATTTATATATGTATTATTCATCAACTTTAAGTTCTTAATGTTTTTTCACTCACATTGTCACCTTAGGTCTGTGTGTGTCCCATTCCCTCTCTCCCTCTCCCCAGAATCTTTGAAGATTTCTCTTCTTGCACCTCCAGTTTATCTCTGTAAACTCTTGGTGACATAAATATTCACATTGTCCACATAAATGTCCACATGCCCTTAATAATGGAAAGCTACAGTGTGTCTGGTACTCAGAGCCTTCGCCTTGTGAACAAGCTACATCTTTGGGGAGCTAACATAAAAATTTCCAAGGTAGGGATTCTTCGTTGAGAAGTCGAGTGTACTTTTTTTCCAGTTATTTATTTGCTGGGTATACCCAGCTGCCCTAGGTCTTAAAGTCAGTTCCTGTATGTGGAGCAGTTTGAACCTTCAGCCATGACCTGCAAGGGTAACTTAGTTACTGTACAAAGTGATTGTTTTTCACAGCAGAGGGAACTGAGATTTCTTTGGGCTTCGGGGTTTATTTTCCTCTCCTGCTTAGTGTGGCACAGATAGCATCCTTTCTAGAAAGCAGAGAGAGGCAAGAAAATTCAGTCCACATGTTTGGGATTTAAGGTTGAGAATGATTCACTCTTAGCTTCTGGGGGTTGTAATTAAGGGTGACATAATAACTATAAACTTTCAATAAAATAGTAGCAGCATTTTTGTTACACTCTGTAGCTGCAGAAGCTGCTTCTGATTAGCATCTCTTCGAGATAAGCCTACAGGACCTCCGCAGTTTCCAGATCTGGATCCAGGCTTTTGTGGTGCAGTCCTACTTCTGTACTGATGCTGAAGGGAACCCTGAATTCTGAAACAGCTAAAATTTTGATGACATTTTCACTTGGATCAGCATCTCAACCTTTTCCTTGGCCATTTTACTCTATCTGTGTAGTTTTCAAGTCACTATTTTCTTATGCTGGCTAAATCCTGCCAGTTTATATACTTTATAATGTACTCTGAGGGTTATCTGCTATGGAAAAAAACAATCATGCTATCTTCCCCTTCTCCTGAGTTATTACTACTTCTTTGTTTTCCAAGTGGCTGAGACTAAAAGGAATCCAGGAATGCACAGAGCAGGAGATCTGTCAGTCCCACTCCACACCAAGGTGCATACTTGTAGGGAGAGATGGGCATTTACACTGGAGTTCTGCCATTAGCATTCAGCCAATTCCATTTTTTGGCAGCTGAGCACATGGAATTTTTAAAAAGATGATGTACATTTTTAAAGCAGGTCACAGACAAAAATAAAGACACATTCTTGGTCTACAAGAAGTAGGTCAGGCTTTGGGGGAATCATTTGCGAAAGCTGTTGATCTAATCTTACCAGTTTTTATTAATATTTTTTCCTTTCTATGCCAAATTTATATGCTTTTTATAAAGAGGTCCTGCTCGTTTTGCTTTAGGTGCAATGTATTCTTCTGCTCTGATAAGCAAACTTTTTACATTAACATCTTAAAAAAAAAAAAAAAAAAAAGACAAAAAGACCCCAGAAAAAAATATGTTCCTAGTTTTCCATTAGAGAATACTGTAGTGGAAAGTGAGGCCTCTCTGTGTTGCAGTCCAAAAGGAATAAAGCTGCTTTGTGTCACCTCATTACTCTAAGCTGATGTTTTACCTCAGGACTTTGAGAGGGGAGGATGGGGGGGAAGGCTGATTCCACTGTTCAGATGATCACCTCTGCAACACCTTCTGTGCCCAATTAATTCGGCTAATTTCGGGGAAGTATTTCACACCCTGCCCTGTGATAATGCCGCGTAGCCCCTGCAAGAGCTGCTGTACCAAGCACAAGGCCTGGGGAGGGAGGATGGATTTCTGCTAGTCAGGCATCCGAATTAGCCTGGCACGGCTTTAGTACCTTAATAGTTGAAGGCGGCTGTTGGAAGAGCTCCGACCATTGAGCGGTGTCTGCATTTAAGGACAGGCAGCTGTAGGTGTGTGCCAGGGCTCGCGGCACAGCCAGGCTGGGCTTTCCCTGCACGGGGGCACGAAGGAGGTTTGTCCTCTCGGGTGGCCCGGTACTCCAGCGAGCAGGCAGGTAGCCCAGCTCGACAGCCAGTGGAGTAAGGATGTGTTCGGTTAACAAACCAGGACGAGGTTCAGCAGGAATTAAACTGTAGAAACCCCTCGGCTTCCTCCACAGCCGAGCTTTGGAAAGAGGATGTTTTTGCTCTGTGAAAGCAAATCCCAATTAACAACATTGTTTGTGGAGGATACTGCTACAAATAATCTCAGCGTTCAGAATATCTGCAGTTACTGGAAGTTTCGTTCCCTTATTTTTCTCTTGTATAAGATTTTAAATATTAATCCGTGTAACTGCATACCATAGATTCACATGAACAAAACAGCGGATGCTCATGTACAGGTAGTATCTGTATCTCTCCTGTTTACAAATCCCTGAGGAATTAGTGACATGGCTGACGTTTTTGTTTAATATTAGTCATTTATTTTTCTTCCTATTTCCCCATTCTCTATTTTACAGAATTTGATTCAGAAACAAAAAGGGTTCAAGACATTCTTTCTGGAATGGAGAAACCACAGGTATGTGATCTCAAATTACCACACACATGCACAAAATAGCAAATGTGATAAGTAGATTTGTGTCACAGCATACTGGTGATTTCACAGGGGAGCACGTCTGAATTTTTTCGTAGTAGATTGTTGCTGCTGTATATATATATAAATCATTTTGCTGAGGTATAAAATTGAAGAATCTTTAATGTTTGTGGACACTGCCCACTGCAGGATTCACACCAGTTGCCTGTTTCCAGAGGACAACTCCCAGTATTCATACTGTGGTGGGGAACCCAGTGCACTGAGGTGATTTACGTAGCTCCTACCCCCTCTTCCCTGGGTTTCATTTTATCTGTCATGAGCCATATTTGTCTGTAATCATGATTAAATTAAGCAAATTCTATTATTCAATGGCAATTACTGTATTCTACATTGGTCTGAGACATAAAAGCACGTTAATTATAATGGAATTGGATCACCATGTAAATAACTGTAATGCTGGGTGTGACCACAGTCAGGTAAGGTTATTAATAAGTCCGGTTGTAAGCCCTTTGAATGTGATGTTTTACTAGTTTGGTGTGTCAAAGGAAAACCAGCAGAGTGTTGTGGATTTAAATGGGCAGTCCAAGCAAGCACTTGAAGACGCAGTCACCAGGCAGAGGGAGATTTGGGAGTTTGATCATCTTTGTTCTGTCAGGGCTCAGACCTTTCTGTGTCCAGCTGGAAAGCTAGTGAACAAATAAGCAAATTAAAAAAAAATAAGAACAGTTGGAAAGCTTATCTAAAGTCTGGGTTCAACAGTAGCTGACAGAGGCTGCTATAAAGAATCTCAGCAGTGGGAGCATGGAGGGGTGGCTATTCCTTAGCTGCAGAAGTGTCAGAGCTCAGGGAGAGGCGGGCATGAGCACAGGCTGAGTTTTATTTTTAGGTTCTGTTCTCTTGGATGCTTTTATTCTGAGTAAATACAAAAGGTGTTTGGTTTTAAGTTGCTCAGTCAGTAGGTGTTGGATCCTGGTGTCATGGCATCTACAAGAGCAGGTTCAAGGCCAGCCAGGATCTATATCAGACCTGCAGAGATGATAAATGCCAGGAGCTACAGCCCAAGTCTGTTTTCAAGAAGTAAAGTTTCTTTATTTCATGTGGAAACAAGTGATGATACTAAACTGAAGTATTGAGAGAAGCGTTTCTGGAGATCACAAGGGGAGAAAGTGCAGTTAGCACAAAATTAGACTAGTTTATTGTACAGAGTGAGTCAATATTTTTGTACCAAGAACTACCTGAATGTTGCTCATCTTGTAAAAAGCCACAGCTAGATGCCTTTTACAAAGATCCGGGGAGCTGATATGAAAAATGTATCGTTTCATGCTTAGCTTCTCTCCTTATAGAGAATATAGAGATAAGTATATATATATGTAGAGAAAATACAGAGATAGATATATAGTATATAGAGGTAAATACATAGTATATAGAGGTAGTTGATCAGTTTGCAGGATTCTGAACTGTGCACAGTCAGATTTATGGTAACCAGAGCATTTAAAGCAGGGGGGGAGCAAAAAACTAAAAATAGGTAAAAATAATTTTCCTTGAATCATTTCAAAAATAGGAACCTTTTTTGAGGGGAAAGAAAAAATCTAAGCCACGGCAAATGCTAGTTCAATAATAATGACATTTAGTGAGAAGATGCTGGGGATTACCTATTGTTCTCCTGTAACTTTGACATTTGTGAATAATTAAACTCATAGAAGTCTCACAAACCATTAATTGCTATGAACGATTGTATGTGTGCATAGTCAGTATTACATCTGATAGACATATATCATATTATGCATAAATAGTCTGCTGGGCATTATTTCTTGGTGAGCTTTATGCATACATGAATGAAAAATAACAAAGTGTCGAAAACCAGTTGTGTAGAAAGAAATGACGCAGTTCAAAAGGAAGGGCCCAGAGCAGTGAGGCAGTGGCACGTGGAGTGATGCTCTGCAGCACGTGGCCTTGGTGTGTGCAAGCGAGCAGCTCCTCCGCCCGCCGTGGGGAAGCCGGCGGAAGGGATCAGCCCTCTCAGTAACTCCGCAGCCGTAGCATCGCTTGGAGCCGTACTCACTCACCTTTCAGAGTACAAAATATACACGCTTTTTAAGTTAATAGTTGATAAAAAGTCTGGTTTCAATAACAGATGTTGTTACCTGTTGGAGAGACGTGCAGCCAAACTGTGAATTTACTCATAGTTTCATCCCTTTGACGGCAAAAATTTTAAAAGAAGCTTTTTCCTTTTTTTCTCCCCAAATTTTTATTTAAACCGAAATATATTTTTAATTTGCATTACCACAGACAATGTAAGCATTCTATAAAGCAAGTACCTGGGTGAGGGAAGGGAAACTCGATTCTGGGTGTCTGAAGTGGCGGGGGGCAGCGTCGCTGCGTGTGACGGCGTGGCTGCCGGGCAGCTCGGGGGGACATCACCTCCCGTGGGGAAACGCCGCAGGTCCGTGGGGTCGGAGCTCAAACGTTAGTTTGACTTTCCAAAAGGCAGCCTGCTCCTGCTGGCTTGCTCAGCAGCAAAACTCATATTTAATCATTGGGATTTTTCCCTAAAATTGCAGGATTAGAGCCATAGTTTAAAAGCAAAATCTCGACCCGGTAATAACCGTGAATTCATTTGACCCCTAAGTCTTTCAGACATTGCCGTCGAGGGAGTAAATGAATGTTGCTTGCAGTGTAGTTCTCACACATACAATAAAACCCCGAACCACACGATGCCTGTGAATACTAACCTGGAATTTGAAAGATAATGAAAGTTGTACAGAAACATTGTTCATTACCTGAAAGACGGGAAGGACCGATATTCATCAGTCTTGTAACCTTATTAAAGTAGTGCAGGAGTTGGGATTCTTTCCCAGGGGCTTTTATAAAATAATTATTTACACCACCGAGTTTTGATAACGTAGAAAGCAGGCATTTACTGTGTAAACTGAGAAGTTTTCAGAAACTAATTAACTATGCTTTTCACCAGACATACAAAACTCCTTGTGGGAGAACCTTTTGTTAGGTCTCAGCTAAAAGGCCGAGCGAGTCCTGTTCAAAGCAAGCACAGCAATTTTGGGGACAGATGAGACAGGCTGGGATAACTAGAAAGCAGCACAAAGGTTTACCTGCCCAGCCTGTGAAGAGGTGCTCTGGCTGCTTATATTTTGGTTGGATGGAATTAGGGCACCATTGATGAACAATAAACTGTTTTTTGCTTGCAGCTAAGTATTCATGTCTACAAGTCTGGTGGTGACATTAAGCCCACCATCGTGATGTTAGCTGTGCCATTCCTAACAGCATGGAAGGGAATGGCCCAGATCTGTTCAGCTGCTCGGTATCTTTTGAAAGGTGCTTGTTTTCCCTGGTGTGAGTGAGAAGAGTTGGGAGTTCAAGCTACTGAGTTGGCTTGTGAGTGCCTGCTTGTTATTCTCGACATATCCTAACCCTGTTTATTTAACTTACTCTTTTTCACAGCAAAGCTCGTGCTTCCTGCTCCAGGTAGGAGTTCCTTGGTAAAGCGAAGCGGTGGCTTTGGCCATTAAATCAGCTATTGAAGAGATATGCCTTTGGCTGGCAAATGCGATACGATATCGAGCCTTAGTCGGAGAGCAGCAGATAGGTTTATCTCCAGCCATACAAATAAATCGGTTCCCAGTGCTTGTGCTGACAGGCACAGTACCGTGCTGCTTTCTATACCCAGGGAGTGTATAGATTTGTCTTTTCTGACTTTATCATGCAGACAGTGACCCCTCGCTTGCTTTATTACACTTGCTGTGAGTACCCAGGGCAGCTAAGAATTGTATTTAATGATTTCTGGTGTTTATTTTTAAACCTCCACCGGTAGTTACTGTGTACATGCCGCCACCGAGCAGGCTGGCAGCCACTCTGGACGCTCTGTCAGTAAGAAGCTAATGGTGGAGCTGGAGCAGCCTATCAAGTGGGTTTGAGCTTTTATCCTCTGCATGGAAATGTCTGCACGCTGGCTTCAGAATAATAGTCTAATAACAGTTTCTAGGGGTTAGTCTGTAAGATACCTTCTCTTACTTAAAGGATCTATGAAAGACCTAACTTTCTACAGATTGCTAAAGTTCATGAAAGGCCAGAGTTTTTGCCATACACAGAATATATACGTGTGTCCTTGTGAGTAGTCATAGAGAAAAACATTTCAATAGAACATTGGCAGGATATCATGCCTTCAGCTCCAAGTCTGTCTGAATTTATGAAAAACAATTATGCAAGCATGTTTCCATAATAAAAGAAGCTGTGTGTTGATGGGCTGAGCTGGCATAGTAGTAATGTATGTTTAAAAAAAAAAAAAAAGTCTATTTGAATCTTACTATTCAGTTGCCTGGTCAAAATATTATTTAAAATACAGACTTTATCCTTTGTCACAATTTCATTCACGTGTGTGTGTGTGTGTGTGTATATATCTCAAAAATTTAACTTACCTGTCTTACTGGAATCATGCAAAATTCTTACCAGCCATCTAATCAAGTATCAGTGTTCACTGGTCCAAGTTTTTGAAGCAGACATTTATTTCACAGCATCAGAAAAATGTGACTAGAGCAAGAAATCCCATGAAAATTTATACAAGAATTTGCATGTTCATATTTCTTACAAAAAAAAAATCTTGGTACTACTTAAAACTTCTTGCCTGACAACTTGTTTTACACATTAGGTTGAACAGAGGTTTTCTTTCTGGCAAGACTTAAGCGTGCTGCTATAAATTAAAATATTTACCTTTTGAGAGCACAGTGTTTTAAGTTGACACGTTTCATGGTGTCACCTACTTGTCAGTCTGTTTAAAAACAGATTTATGGCTTACTCAGAAAGAATCAGCTTGTTATAGGGGTATCACACACAACAGTTGCAGTGCTCTTCAGCTGGAAGCAATGTGTTTTCACATGAGAAGCTAAATATTCTCCATTAGATAAAGATATCCAGAAGCTGGATTTGTAAACAAGCAGGCCCTGAAAGCTGATTTCCAGTATTTCATTACCAGAAGCGTAAGGTGTTTCAATTGTCTCAGGAAAAGTGTAGGAAATGTGTAACTAAGCACCTGCATCATTCATCTTGCACCTTCTGAAATAACAACCTTTTGCTTGTGTGTTGGAAAAATCTGTTAAAATGATAGAACTGGTGAAATTTGATGCATAGGAGAAACTGGATAAAGAATACAAAACCTCATACTTCAATTACTCCTCATGGAGGCTAGCTAAAAAATATTCTTTACATTTTCACTACAGTTAAGAAAGAAAAACGTAGTCGTTTTCATTGCAAAAAGTGGAGAGTCAGTGGCAGGGATCCTGAGGCTACAGAGGCTTTGAGGCTTCCCTGGGCTTTTTTTCAGAAGGCATGCAGAAAAATGTTCGCTGTCTTTCCAAGATAGCCAGTGCAACTATTGTTTTTTCTTTCCTTTTCTTTTGAGACAGTGGAGGGTGGGGGGAGGGGAAGGATTTTTTTTCTTCTTTCTTGGCTTGATAACAGAGGGCCGTTCTCTGGGAAGCTGCTGTTCGGTACGTGCAGCTGATGAGCGATGGCTCCGGCACCGTGCCAGCGGGCTCTCCTGGTGAGAAAGGCGATGCGAGCTCTGTAACCTCGGCCAGTCGAGGGTTATGCTGACCTGTGGTTCCAGAAGAATACAGCTGCACTGGTGCAGTGATAAAGTTGTTCTGGTGCAGGGGTTTGAGGCGTTTTTTTTCTGTGTTTTATTAAAAGAGAATTCTCACCCATCTGCCATTGAGGTGTCGCACCTCGGGGGTGACTACAGATCATACATGTCACCTTTCTCAGGGCACAAAGTGATTGATTTGTAACGTAGTTTTTAACTGACAAGTTGGATTTCTATTATGATTTTCCCTTATGCTTTTGAGTCAGTGTAACCTTGCAGACTGAACTGGGTTTTCTTACTTATTTGCAGTTGAATTATTGCAGTTTCAAATTGCGAGAAGGAACAGGATGACTTAAAAAGCCATCAGAGTTTTATTAGAGGATCTCCCTGACAAAAGCTTTAGAAAATAATTGCATACAAAACAATCTGTAGGATGAAGTCTTTGTTCCACATAGTTCCAATCCGCTCTGGTGTAATGGCCACGGCAGCAGGTACCTCCAGCGTGGTGCGGGGCATCCTTTGCTGGATGCTCAGACGATGACGAGCCAGTTTGCTGCAGGGGGACATCTCTCTGTATTCCTCATCTGGTAGAGATTAGTTTATGTCATGAATCTGTGTTCTTGTTTGTATTGTTGATGACCATTTCTGACTCTTTTCAACTTCAGACCTGAAATTTCCTTTTTACAAGAAACTGATTGCGAAGTTGCAAGCAAAAAGCAAATACTTAAGAGGATGGTGTTTTTCTCGGAATACAGAGAAACTGATGTTTCTTTTATAGGTTACGAATATTCAAGCAAGAACAGTTTTACTTTCCTGGTCACCTCCCACTGGCCTTCTCAATGCAGATAGACACAACGGTTTGCCTTACACCTGTACCTACGAGGTTGCCTTATCGGATAAAGGGAGGGATGGAAAGTACAAGATAATTTACAGGTAACAGCATCATTTTTACATGTGTGTGTTCATTAGGAATAAATTCTCTGAACTTTTCAGGGCATATTTTGGTGTGTCCATCTGTTGCAGACCAAAGGCACACTTGAATACCACGTACTTGGTCCTCACTGTCCCGTCAGCTCCCTTTGCTGGGGGAGCTGGTTGAGTGCATGTCAGAAAGTCCCTAATTGCCTTCCCATCCCACCTCCCCGGCACGTGGCAGATCTCGCATGCGATGCTGTCTCTCCCCTTGCCAATGAAAAGGTTACTTTTTCTCTTACGGTAAAGGTTAAAACCTTTCATGTACACCATGCAGGCAGCATAGGTACCTTCCTAATGGGCTCAATTTGTGTGGACTTGCACAATTAAGGACAATAAAGCTTGCTTTCTGAGCTAACAAGCAAAACGTTTGAGGGATTTACTGCTTCATAGCATCTGAAATGAGCAGAGGAGGGAGTACACCAGTCAGTATGCTATATAGGCTACCCAGAAAAACCCGAATACTTGGCTTTCAGCAGTCCTCAGTAAAAATTGTGAGGGATTTCTCTGTCTCTCCTTCCAGTGATCCTCTGAGCTCATTCTGTGATCAAGTACATATGGTATTATGCCTTTCTTTTTCTCTGCTAATGACGTCTAGGAAAGAAAATTTTGAGATGTGACCTTGGCTATTGTAAAATAGCTAATCCTTTCCAAATCTCATTAAATAAAGTCCAGGTGATACAGCATTTATGGAATTACCTCTTGAGACCAAACCATCTCCTTTTTTAAGATTTCCTGTGAATTAGGGAATTCCTCTTGGTATGCTAGAGGCAGGTCTATGTGAACTGTCTTGAGTAATATAAAAAGATCGTATTAACCATGGAAACGCTGCCTGATTTTTTTTGCTGATATTTACCCTAGCTATTTGTGAGCCAGTGTGAGCTTCTCTATAGGTTAATGTGTGCTGCTGAGCTCTTAAAATGGGAAGAACACTTTCTAGTACTCCTTGTGCTTGTTGGTGTGATGGCTGCACATTTTCTCCTGGTTATGAAATGTTGTGCATCTGTTTTAAAGCTGCTAGGAGTAATCTGCCTCCTGCTGCTGGCCAGAGTACAGCCATTAGCTTAATGTGGTACGCTCCGTCACGAGCAGCAGTAATCATTATTACTATAGGCAAAAGAAAGTCTGCAATATGTTGAATACATTGCCTGTGCAAGGAGGTGCACTCATTTCAGAGGGAAAACACTGAATATGCAGAGCGTTGAATTATATGAAAAAAATAAGTTTTTTCGGTGGATTTCTGACGACCCAGCAGGCATGTGCTTTCTGGTTGATTTTGTTCTCTTGATCTTAAGTCATCTCCCTGTATTTGGCCAACGAGCTATGAAATACTTATTTGTGATAAGTTGATAATTTTCTTGTGTCCCATATTTTAATAAAATCACGAATAAGCCAAGCAGTTACATGAGATGGCTATTCCTTATTAAGCACTGACCCATACCTTAATCTTCGCAGAACTGGCAGCACGTGACTGAGCCTTGTGTTCATTTACCAGCAAACAAGCCAAAAGGAAAAAGAGCCCTAAATATGTTGGCTACATTTGAAATTAATAGATTATACGCTATTCTTTTCCTAAAATGTCTGAAACTGTGCTTTTACTTTTCTTGGTATTGAAAGAGATCTGGGTCCAGCTGTTAGGGCACTAATTAAATGTCTCCTTGCCATGGTCCTCATAGAGATTGTGATTCTAGAAGGGAAAGCAAATAGGTGAAGCGGTTGTGCAAGAAACTGTTTCCTCTGAAGTTCAATGACTGTCACTTTTTATAAAGTATTTTGAAATAGTGAATGTGCAGGAAGTATAGAAGTAATGTTTTGATTCTGCTCATTTCAGCTCTGAGAGGGTTGAAAAATACAGCGAGCTTTATGCTAATATCAACAAAATGTAAGGGTAGCATTGAAATAAACCCATATAGCTAGTTTCCTGTATAAATCAGAATGCTAACTACTTTTTTTTTCTATGTATATGTAGCTTTATGAAGTTTTCAAGAAACATGAAGTGTGTTGACAAATTGTTGGTATACTGTTTACTACTGTTTATCTGTGGTGAAATTTTTTTTCTTCTTTCAAATTATAATACAAGGGAGTTGCTAGTCACTGAAAAATCACTAGCTGTGCTAAGTATGATACTGCTTTTCATAATGTATTGATTTTGCTGGGTTTGGGCTTTTTTCCTGCAGTGGAGAAGAATTGGAATATAACCTGAAAGACCTTAGGCCAGCAACAGATTATCACGTCAGGTGAGTTAGTATGACTGTGAATATCACTTAAATATAAACTCTTCAGTTATATGAGAATAAATGTGTACGTTTTTTTATCTAACTATGCAGTGTAGCTCAAGAATTTCATGGGCACCTCTAGGTGTTTTTTTCAGTGGCTTTAAATATTTTCTGATAGATTTTAACTTGGACTTTAAGTTACAAGAGTGCTTTTTGAACAAAACATTTCATTGCTATTGTAAGAGGAAAAAAGACATCTGCATATCTATATTTCTGTGTATAACAGTCCTGAAAGTGCTTCTGTATGGAAGTGGGATACCTGAAGCTTCTTAAAAATTTGACTCAAGCAACTGGCATTTCTTCAGTTATTGTAACATAGGTGTGCTAGCACTGACAGCACTCTAGCACAGTTTCTTCATAAATACTCCTTGCTTCGTGACATAAACCCGCTGACTACAGATCCATTGAAATTTCAGCATTTATTAAAAAAAAAAAAAAAAAGGATTCACACAGGACTGTCTTGATATTTTCAGTGTACTTCTCTTTGGTTCTAAAAATATGCTTTACACATTTTACTCATTTATTAACTATTAACACATTCTCAGTTTTGCTCCCTGATGTTTTTAACACCGTGGTGTTATCTGCTCATGTTGCATTTTTTTTTTAAGGACTTTGCTTATGAACCAAGGCTTCAAATTCACATCCTGTTCACTTATACTCAATATCCTTTTAAAAAAATTACTTTCACTCCTGTCTGTTGTTTCCTTCTGTTTTTCTAGATGAGGGCTAGGTTTGGCTTTTTCACATCAAGGCTACTCATGTTTATAAAACTTCAAAGCGCAAACACTTTGCTTCTAAGCTCTAAAAAAGACCCAACACCAAAATGTGTCTGTCTTGCTCTAATACTATAGCTTTTTTTTTAAGAATACTTTCTAGTGGAGCCCTAAAATTAACTTTTTGGGTAGAAGCATGAGACCAGAAGTAGCTTCTTGTCAATAAGTAAAAGACACGGGCTCCCAGATTGGACAGTAGTCCCTGTCCTAGGAACACATGGGTGGTAGCAAGGAGGAGAATATTGTAAAACACCGCTGAGCTTTCTGCTGTAAGCAGTTGAGCATCTCTTTTAAAGCCATCTTCAAACAGCAGAGCAGTCACCGAGCACAGCATGGCCTTGAGGTCTCGTGTGATTTTTAGGAGTGTTGTGGGTATTTGCCCCGTGTCCTGGCTGACTTCTTTCTCCCTACCTACAGCTCCCTCCACCTTCCTGCACGTTTGCTGCATTATAAATCATTTGTGAACAGTTAGCAGTAACTTCTGTTTAAAAAGAAGTGACTCTTAAATATAAAAGTCAGGCTTAAAAAGCACGTGTTCATACTGGAGGGAACTGACACTGGAAAGGCCAGCTGTTTGCTTTCCATGACAGTTTTTTTCTTCACTGAAATGGCGTTATGTATTAACGACCATGAAGAAATAAATCTGTTAAATAAAGAAATTTATGGAGCCAACAGTTACTCGGCAGTTTGCCTTGGGTCTCCTTAACCTTGGCAGCTTCTCTTGGGCTTTGGTCTCTGTGCAGACAAGCTGCTTGTGCTTGCTCCTGACCTGCGGGGTCCTGGGCACCCAGGAGAACCTGGCTGGCTCTGAATGTACCTCCTGTGTTTCTTCAAGTAGCGTTATTTTGGTACCTTCAGAGATGAATGTGCTCAGTGCTTCAGCGACTTGCAGAAGATGCTCATTAAGCTCGTTTTTGCATGTTTGCATTCCCCGATGGTGTGTGTGTGATGCTTAGCTATGCTGATTTCCAGCACACATACATACCACTTGCCAGATGCAGACTCAATTAATTAATTGCATTTGTTTTCACTCCTGACTGCTAACAGGTGATGGGTAAAGCAGTACTCTAGCAGTTCTTGTGAACCTTCCCCGAAAGGTTTGATTCTACATAGGTGGTCATTGTACATAATTTACCCTTACCTACTGAAAACAAATTTAGAAATTGCCCTTTCTTAAACTCTGCATTCAAGTACATAATGGCTACAGCCAGCTCAGAGGTCATCGTCTGGTCATGGTTTGAACATTTTTTTGAGTAGAAGACTTCCAATTTGCACTTTTCTTTTGCTGTGTGGAAAATGCGAAGGGAAAAAAATAACATAATATTTAAGAGAAAAGCACCTCATGAGGAAGCAGTCAACTATATTGTATTTGCTTTCCAACATGATTTCGTATTGTATATCCCCCTGTTGCTGATATATAGAGGATTTGCTTGAAATCAGATTTGCTTTGAAGATTTTATCAGAGCAATGTTCCTGAGCTGTGCTAGTTTTAAGTCATGGAGGTCCACTAAATGTTGACACCTGAGCAGAAGCTTGTAGTTGTGGAAGGAGAACAGCAGTTACTACCACTCAACATGTTACATGTGAATCAAGTGTAAACCACGCAGTACAGTTCATACCTTTTTTTCATGAGTTCATACTTTCTCTTGTATTGTGAAGAGGATTTTAGCACAGTGTGTGAAAGTCTGGCAATAGGCAAGGAAACAGTGGAAAAGATTATGATGATAACTCAGTGATCTGTGGTTGTATTTGCACAAAACACTAATATTCCTGTTCTAATGTGAATTTTTTGCATACTTGTATCAAGTGAAGAAAAACAATGATAGCCACTGGTCTGTGAGAAATCTATCATTAGTGGACAGTATCATGGGTGCTTTGGTAGTCAAATTTTGTGGCTGAGGCAGTGCTGTCTCATCTTGTAACATCGGCAGATTCATAACCCTTTTGAATGTTGTTTCCAGGGTATATGCAATGTACAACTCGGTAAAGGGATCCTGCTCAGAGCCAGTAAGCTTCACCACTCACAGCTCAGCACCAGAGTGTCCCTTCCCACCCAAACCCTCGCACAGAACCAAAAGCTCCTTAACCTTACAATGGAAGGTAGGTAATGCTTGGATCAGGCAAGAAAGCAGTGAAAAGTACAATTTACTGGCAGTGAGCTTAACCGTTGAAAATAATTGAAAGCTGAGACAGTCATTTTTCAGTAAGGGACTGGACTTGCTGTACTCTGACAAATCCCTCCCCCGTGCACTGACTTGACTTTTAAAACGTATGTTTTCATTACGTCCAGCTTGTTCTTGGTGTTCATTAAGAAGTTGCCAAGCTACGTGCAAACCGCAAGCTTTGGTTTCACTTTAAACTGCAGTCATTTGTTGGGGGGGGGGGGGGGGGGGCGGGTAGGAAGTAGTTTTATCTTATTCCCCAAATCACTTTTTGTTTGTTTTTTGTTCATAGGCACCCATTGATAATGGTTCAAAAATCACTAGCTACCTTTTGGAGTGGGATGAGGTAGGTAATAACTAGTTGAAGTAAATACATAAATAAATGGCACTCAAAATTTACAAGCATTGCTGAGTAAAGAAAAATAATTAAATACAAGAGAAAGTAGAAGTAGGCAAATGAAATCCTGATTGTATTAGGTAAATAGTTGGAAAGGTGGAAGGGTGAGTGGGGGGAAAACTTTTCATTCAGCGTATTTTATGCAGAAATCATGCTCTGCTTCGGTACTCTTGAAATTAATTTTTTATCTTATTTGGTGTATTTGATTTGTTAATTGGCATTACTTATTATTTAATTACTTGTGATGTACCTTAGAGTTCTGTTCATGATCTCTTTCTTCTTAAGGGAGAAGAGGTGTCATCTTGCAGCCCTTCCTCCAAAGGATCTGTTCAGGGTGTCCTTTACATAATGGCAATTAGTCCCCTTCCAGACACAAAAGGAAATAAGTTCTCTGTCCCAAAGATCTTACATAGTTAGTGAGCAGCGTGCTGTTGGGGAGAGTGCCAAAAGCAAGTTCTGCTGGAGGGTGGGTTCTGGTTGTGAGTCCTCCCTCCATCCCTTTCTGAGTCCTTTCCGTTGTGCAAGCCGTATTTCTGCAGAAAGCATGAGTCAGTGAATATCATCTTCAAAGGAGAAAAACAGGTATTGGGTGACAGAAGAGGCTTAGGCAGCACATAAAGAAAAAAAGGTGATGAGTCAGGAAATGAGGAATGTGAAGGGGTGTTGAGTTGTACAGTCTGAGAAGCATCTCTTGAGGTTTTTAGTAGTCTAGAAATAATATCTTAAAGGGAATATTCTGTTATGTATAGTTTTCTTGAATTTCATTAGTAATGGGCTCCTAGATAACTCTGCTACATGTTGGACGTTTGGAACTGCTCGTTGTGCAAACACTGATTGTATGCAGTATCACAGCAAACGGTGTCTACATGATAAGAAACCCAGTGACCTGAACTAAAATGAAACAATAATTTCAAAATGGCTTCTGCCTCTCTCTGCATAGTGAAAGAGGAAAGGTGGTCAGTGAAAAAGAAAAAAGGGGAGTGTAAGGTGAGGAAAAGGAGATTCAAAAGACATTTCTCCAAAAAGACAGGCCAGGATAAACCAATTATATCTTCTGTGACACCTTGACTGTGTAGTTGTGATCTCTCGCAAGGCTTCCACTAACTTGGAGCCATGGAACATAGCAGCACTGAGCAGTGAAGCGGTGGAAACGTGGATGATTCCAGCCTGCAAAGGGAAAGGAAGCAACGAAGGTCTTGTCAGAAGAAGGACCAACAATAGACCATTAATACAGTGCAAATACTTTTGGTGTTAATTTCATCCACGTGGACTCTAGTCCTAATATTGGATATATGTAAGGAAATTCTAAAATGCTCTTGTCCTTTAAACCCTTTAATACTGAGTACGTACCTAGAGTTTTGTCTTCAGAAAGAATTATTATGATGTCTGCTTTTCACAGGGCAAAAGTAGTTAGGTTTAGGCTAGCTCATGTACCAAGGGGGAAAAATGAAGGTATGCGGATTCCCTTAGTTTTCTCCTTAAAAATCCTGAAATGTGAGACCCCAGTGGATAGCTAGCCAGCAAAGATGAAAGAATAATGGCCCTCCGCAAATTAACATGGTACACCTCCAGTGGTTTGGCATGTCTTCTGACTGAAATGTCGTTGTCTGATTGTGAGACAGTTAATGCCACAGGTATAGCTTCTCTGAAAATTTCCTCTGATATGAGACAGAAATACAATTTTGAGTTGCTGAATTAAAACTTGCTCTTAAGGTTTATTGAAGAAAGTGTGAAGATACAGGCTGGGTGCACCTGCATCTGCAGGAGCTTCATCTACCTGCGACAGTGAGCTCAGCAAGCTGTTCTGCTCACTTTGTCATGTGCTGCTGCGAGCTGCGCCCCTGACACAGCGTGCAGTTAGCTACTGGAGTTACAGCACCCAAGTACAAAAGAGAATTCACTTGCAATGGCCTGTACCCTCGCACTTGGTTGTGTAAACTCCACGTAAGCAAAAGCACCGACTTTGTTACAATGCCACACTGTGTCCTGGTGAAATCAAGAAATAAATACATCAGGGAAGAGGAGAACGCTTGCCAGGCAACAGGGAGTGCTCTGCCAGATCTCAGCTAGAGCAACATTCATTAGCTACAGGGCACAGGATAAAATATAAACATGGGAAAATCAGCAATCAGAAGGAAATTAAATTGTGGCTGCGAAGCAGAGGGGGCTTTGCGTGAGTGGAGAACAAGAAATCTATCGGATGATAAAGTTAGAAAAACACCCTAAAATGGCAGTCTGCCTTGAGAAGTCAACTCCCTCCCTCAGGCAGGATAGCGTGCAGGTGAGCTGCAGAAGTGACGTGCAGCCCCTGGCAAGCTGTTGTGCACAGGATGCAGCCTCAGAGTATAGAAAGCAGCCGGGCTTCAGGCACGGGAGATGTGGGGAGCAGCGGGGGGTGGTGGGGTGAGCGTGGCAGCTGTACCCCAGGCTGGCCGGTGGGTTCCCCCCGATCCAGCTGTGGTCCCCACTCCTGCCAAGAGAGGGGCTCCAGCAGCCCCTCTGCGCTCCCGCACCGTGGGTAACAGGCTGCCTCTCTCTGGGGCAATTCAGATCTTGGAGCATGTCAGATGCTCAGCAGTGTCTCACCTAGTTCCCCCTGGTTTTACAGGGTGGAGGCGTAGTTTATAGGATGTAAAATGCAGCCAGGAGCGTAGGTGGCATCACTTGTGTATGCAAAAAAATAAATTGTTGCTGTAAAACGACATCAGAAGCGGTGTGTTGGACAGCCCTGGGATTAGGTGAGGTTGTAAATTGCAGCAAGAGGACAGCATCTCATCTCTTCGTGGCTGCAGCTGGGTTGTCCCGCGGGGCTGAGGTGCTGCAGCGGCGGCTGGGTGCTGGGGGGTCTCCCGGGGACCCTGGGTGCAGCGCTGCTCGGCCAGCCCCGAGCCACCGCACCGGCCTGCTGCACCCTCCCCACCTCTCTGGAGGGTTGCTCAGGGGAATGGAGAAAAACGGTTGAGGCAGGTTTTTTGTTGGCTTTTTGGTTTGTTTTTTTTTTTTTTTTTTTTTACTGTCCCTTGCTGAGAACAGGTGCAGGACTGTTCCCATTCTCTGGTTTAGCTGTCTTTTCTCATATATACTTTAAAAACCTTCTCTCGCCACATTAGATGAGCTTTAGATGAAACACAAATGAGTTGCTTTTGTTTCTTCATTGTCATTAGGTGTGTTGTATTCTGACACACTTTGATGAAGAGAAGGTTATACTGCTTAATATGTCACTGTGCCAGTCCTACCCAGCTGCTGCTTCTTCAGCTTAATTCTGAGTTTTGGGGTTTTTCCTGGCCTGCAGGCTCTGGAAGATGGAGTAGTCAATAGATAAAGCTATTCCTGCTGTTCCACCTTTTCCCCTCCCAATTTGAATTAAATGGTTTGTAATGTGACTTGTGTTACATGTTAGTAAATGCAAATACTTTCTCAGTACTGATGTAGGTCTTTAAATTATAGTTACAATGCTTTGCTAATAAACTGTTTTAGCTTAAAATGCCTGAAGAACTATGGAGGGCAATCTTTAACAGCAAAGACTGGCTCAGGGAGTTGGATGTATGTACAATGTACTCAGTTACATTGGATGTATGCTAGCAAAGCTTCCATTGGCTTCAAAGGAGTTAGGATCAGCCCCTCTTCTCAGGTATTTTGAAATTCAGTAGGATCTGAACATGCCTGCACCTCAGGTGCTGGGATTGGCAATAGTAGGCTGGCGATAAAAGCTGTTAAAATTAGTAATTGAGGAAAACTCCACCTACTGGCTCTTTTTCTATGAACTTTACAAACCTGAACCCTCTGAATGTACAAACCTGAACTAGTCAGTTGACGGATTTGTTCCAGGATTGATTACAGGGTAAGCAAAAGGGTAATCGGAAAAAATAGTGTTAAAAATATACCAAACAGAAAAACATCACTGTAAAGGAGGTATTGCTTTCCCTGGTGCCAGCATTCATCAAAATCAGTAAACTGTAACTGCGTTGAGAAATGCTGCTGACACTGCTGTAAGAATCAGGCTTTTGTTACTAATTAGACGTGAAATGATTGTTCTGTGATTAAGTGGTAGTAAATAAATGTTTCTCTTGTGCATATGGATAGCGAGAGTATCCTATTCATTCTCTGTGGGAAAGTGGAGGACCCTTCCTGAGCCAGAGACAAGGACATCCCTCTCATGCAGTGTGTGTCGCTGTTTTGTATAGAACTCAAAAGCAGCATTATTTCGCATCCAGTAAGCATCTCCTTTTAATTTGCTTGAGAGAGACAGATATTACCATGCTACTTAATGATTTGGTGATGGATAGTTAATAATTAAGTTTATATAGAGATAAATGGTGATAATTTTGTTCTGCCACAAAGTTTTAAACTTCTAGAGGCTATCAGAATTGTGCTTATTGATACTATCTGGTAATCTGTGCCATGCATCTCACTGATGGTCCATCAGAATTCAGATACACAGAGCTCCATGCTCATGCTTGTGCTTGTGTTTGTTCACCTGCCTGCCCTCTTCAGTCTGTTCTGTAGCTATTCTGCCCCTGTGAGACATGCAAGAGGAGAGTCCAGGATAGAGTTAGTTTCCATGTATAGTTTAGGGACGTTTCGTAGGTCCTTTTCTGTCTTCTAAATGCTTGTATATAGAAAATTCAGTTACTTGTATAAGAGCTTGCACAATAAAAGCTTTGCAGAGATATTAGGATGTGTTATAGTAATTATTGACGCTTAGCTCTGCAGTTTTGTGTCAGATTGAGTATCAGTCTGTTGCTTTTTTTTGCCAGTATGAACCAAACACAGAAGTTAATTCTGGCGTGACCTGCAGCAGATTGTCACCTTGCCTCCGGATTGTGGATCTGATGCTGGCAGCTTTTATTCAGGTTTTTTGCATGGAGGACTTGTAAAGGACTGTGCTCTGTCTCTGCATCCACTGTACCTGCAGTGGCCCATTCCTCCTTTCGTGTTTATTTACTGTGTCTGCTGCAGGAAATGCAGTCAACAAAACCCTCTTAATATCTCAAAATCCTTGTTTCAATCAATGCTATCTCCAAGAGAAACTTAAATATCCTGTTTTCAGTGAGTGTGTAGCTTGAAATATAGCTGAAATAGCAGGCAAAACTCTTAAAAATGTGTTAGAGTTCTGTGTTATAGCACTGTGCAATTTCTCATGGGTTTGTGGGGCTGAACTCTTCCCATTTCCTCAGGCAGGCCCTCATGATTATCACACTGTGGGTTGGCCTCGTGAGGAATAGGGAACACAGGCTGGAGAACACAGGGCTAGTGAAGAAGTCAGACAGTGCTCTTTCTCTGAAATTTGTGGATTAGAAATATTTGTGGAAATGATACAGTGTATTTTAAGCAATTTACGAAACGTTATTTAAAGGATTAAAACTTGGATGCCGAGCGTACAAAGAATAGGAGAAGGATTCTGGGAAAGCTGTAAGACTCTTGGGTGGCAGCCAGTGCCAGCCTGCCAGTTGTTCCTGTCTATAATTATGCCAGCATTAGTGCTTTCATAAATCTTGGGAGAGAAGGAGAGGAGAGACTATTTCCAGGCTATTAATGCCAGGATAATTAGAAATATTGGCCAGCCTCTCCAATTAGTGCCAGTAGAATCCAAAATACCAGCCAGTCTGAGTAACTTGAATACCAGTCGGTCTCTGAGCGAGTCTGGGGAATGTACAATACCAGATCTAGAAGAAATATATATACAATACCAGAATTTGTACTGTTACAAAGCTGAAGATAACTTAAATGTTTGGCAATCTTTGCAAAGTTTTAACCCACTAGTTTGCCAAATTGGAGTTTCCTTAGCCCATTGCTCTTGGTTCGGGCATTGTGCTACAGGTGAGATTTTCTATGACTTTCCTTTTTAGCCATCACTGTTCATCTGTTTATTGACCGCATGCTTAGCATTTGGTCACTTTGTTCTCTTGGAGAAAAAGCATAGGGAAGTGATTTTTAAAAATATATGCTTCAGCAAAAATCAAAAAGAAATTAAATGTTTTCAAAGGCTTTACGAGTAGTGAAGTCATTAAAGAGTTAGAGAAAAATTAATGTAATGCATCTGCACGTATAAAAGAGAGTTTGCATAGGGGAAAAAAACAATCTGTTCTTAGTAGTCCTGCACTGATGAATGGATATTTTACTAAAATATAGGATTACTAATTAGGTTTTGTATAGTCTGGATTTTAAATACATTATTTCTGAGCTGGGAAGTATGGCAACCTATTATTTTTGTCCAAAAGGAGTTTTATCATATACTTTTATATCTAGGGATTTCAGATCTGAGCAAGTTTTCTCATTTACAAAAGACTTTTGCTTTAGGATTCGTGATTCTCTTCCAATTCCACCCCTTCATTTACTTGAGCCATACAGTAATGTTACAGCTGGAGCAGGTGGGTGAAGTTGAAGAAGATTGTGTATAAAACTAAGTTCTAGAAAAAGTATAGGATCACACAGTGTAAATAAAAGTAAGTTATGGCTATTTGCCAGTGTGCTAAATGTCCCTTCAGCGTCTCCAAATTGTTGTGCTGTGCTGGAGGTCTGCATGATTGTTTCTAGCTTTATAAACACATTTTGGAGATTTACTACAAATGTTTTATGGAGTTCTTCCTTCTGTGTTGCCATCTGAGTAAAAAGAAGTGGAAATTGATAGGGGCTGGAGAATGGGCCAGTGAAAAATTTATGTCCCACTCAAGCAGTTGTGAGATCTTTAATGATGAAGCGATGTATTGAGCATGGAGGAAGAACAGTGTGTGGAAGGACAGACAGAGCCCAAGGAGGCAGCAGTAGGTGAGGCTGTTGGCCGCAGTCAGGGACACCTGTATAAATAATTTTCCTGTTAGTCTGCTTGGGCATAGAAACATTGAGTCTTATGTCGAGCTGGTGTATATTAGCTGAAACAAGTAGCCTTGTTTATGGGCAGACGTTAATTTTAGTGAGATAAAATAAAAATTAAAAGTTGTGGAGACTGGTGCCAAAAGTAGTAAATGGTTCTGAAGTCAGAAGATGTTGCAGGGGTGGGCATAACTTTATCTGCTGCACCAGTCTGAGCCCATGTAGGTGCTTCGCTAAGCTCCTATTGTGGTGTGCTTTTGGGTACTTCATAAGGTAATTGTTCATTAATTTTGTATTCAGGTATTGAAATGTAAACTCCTTTGAACTGCTTCAGCTCAGGTAGATATTATTTATGTAGAGTGGAGCAATCCTGAAAGACTTCAGGCTGACCATTTCCCACTTCTGGCGTGAGACCAGATAGTTTTTGTTGACTTGGGGTCTTTGTCCTACAAAAAGCACAGCTTTGTTTTTGCTGTAGGGCATACCTAGTTGGGTTGGACTGAAAAAGTTTTCGCTTTGTTTTAAACGTGGCAGGGACGGAGAGAACTTCTGAATGTCCTTGTCCTCAGCTGTGCTGGTTTGTACTCAGTGCGTCTGAGGAAGGACTTGGGACCTAGAGGTGTCTCAGTACCACCTCTCGCTGCTGCCCCATCTGGGCTTTGTCAGGGCCCATCATCGCTCCGGGTCACGCTGATGTGAAGCTCCCGGAAACCATACCTCTGGCATCCAAGTTTCTTAACAAAGTTACACGCTTTCCAACAAATCCTGTCTGCTCATCCCTTGCTGCCTGCTCTGAGCGGTGGGACGGGTACAGAAGCTGGAACATTCAACATGCCGCTGCGACGAGTCCATCTCTTTTGCCCTCGAGAGCGTGGGGCTGAGCAGAGGGCCAGGGCCAGGGCCAGGCTGGTCCTGCTCGGGCGCAGGCGTGGGGCTGGCGGCCGGCGGGGAGCGAGAGCCCTCTCGTGGGGTAGAGGGAGGGCTTACGCGGGATCTGAGGTGCGGAGGGTAGCGCTTGCAAGAAACACTGGCTGCAGCTTTCCTGTGCTTCTGTGACTCGATTCAGAGATTAGATTCCCTCTTAGTTTGCATGATTTTTGGTGAATGAGTAGGACAAATTGCATTTCAAGCAGAATGACAGAAGCTGTAGAGACATATCAGGAAGATAAGGATCTGAAAAGAGGTGGAATTTGACAGCAGACTGCCTGTGTTGATCTGTGTTATTTTAGGTAGAGTAGAAATGCTGTCAGTGGCTTACACAGCTTTCTTTCCACAGTGCTTGTATGAAAGTGTCTAATTCTAATATCAATTAACATGTCTTTTTAAAATAAGAACCATGTAGTTTTGTTTCATACCTATCCAATTACAGATTTTTTTCCTCTTTCTAGGGAAAGAGGAACAGCGGTTTCAGAGAATGTTACTTTGGAAGCCAGAAGCATTGCAAGTTGACTAAGCTTTGTCCGGCTTTGGGTTACACCTTCCGATTAGCAGCTCAGAATGACATCGGTACTAGGTAAGTTACCCAAGGTACATGCTTTCTTGAGAAAAAGCGTTGTTGAAAAGTTTAAGTATCACTGATAGTGTAAAGAGGAATTTCTGGGAGGATTTTTTATTTGTTTTTTCTCTTTGCGGTTTTGAGTTAAATATCTGATGTTTGATCTATTATTAATGCTTCAGAATAAGTCACACCTTCCCTGGTGGTATCACTCACCTCCCAGGGAATCTCCATGTACGTTCGGCAGGATGAGGTTAGCCTAAGAAGATAGGCTCCTTTTGAGGTGTTAAATGCTGGTTCGTGGTCCGTTCCTAATACAAAAAGAATACATCTGTTATGTAAAATTCCCACTAGAGACCTCTGTGAACCAAGAAAAACAAGCAAGAGGAAGTTGAGCTACAGATTTTGAAAGGAATCTTGATATATTTATTTTTCTGGTTTAAAGCAAAGCTCTTCTGTCTTTTTTTCAGCAGTACAGTCCTGTCCTTTTCTTCTACAGGACTGGTGGGGCTGGCTGATGGGGTGGGAAAAAGGGGTGAGAGAGCCAGGACCGAGAGAGGACAGTCACACCCGAGGGCCCTGCAAGATGGGTTTCAGGTTCTTCCCATGAACAGACACGCTCAGGTGAAGATGATGAGAAATCAGACTTACCGCAATCCTTTGGGAGCTGCCAGGGAGCATGGGGCTAAACTGTTAGGCAGCTGAGACCAGAGTGTGCCCAAAGAGACCTCGTGCTGCAGGGGCTGTGCACTCCTATACGGAAGGAAAGTAGGCCAGGAAAAGTTTAGCTGTGAAGAGGCTAAACATCCAGTGCTCTTGTATACTCCTTTATTGTCCTTCTTAGCTAAACAGGATCTAATCATTATTACAAGGACGACAGGAAAAGAAACACTAGTGCTATATAACAGTGTGTTTTGCTGAGGGAGATTCCTGTATTGTTCTCTCCTGCAAAGCACAAACCTCTTAGTAATATATAGCTTTAAAAAGTTTCTTTGTTCATGTTCCTGTGTTTTCCCTCTAAGATGCACTGGGACTCTTCATGTGTGCAGAGTCGCTTTTGCCAACTTCTTGCAAGTTTATTTCCCTCCCTGTTGAAATAATACTTGATCCAGAGAGAAAGAGAGAGGCTTGAGCTGGAGCTTCTGAGCGTAACTGGAAGGGCACTGCCAGTTTTGTGCTAAGTTCCCAGTTTTGGCATCTCTTTTTCTTTGCCAGATTCCAGATTTTTAAAATACCTTAGGGCATGCTTCAACCCTCCCCACCTTTTTTTTTTTTTTTTTTTTTTTTTCGTTCTTCTCTCTCTTTTTTCCTCAGGCTATTGAGGAGGGAGTGAACCAAGAACTATATTTATGGTCAGCTGCTCTGTGTTAATCTAGGAGATAAGCACCAACAGCACATGGCTCATTTTTATAGACAGCACTCAAAATTCTGTCATGATAATGTCATCTAACACTTCGTGTTGTAAGATGGTTCTAGTTGGTTGTAATGCTTGTGGACTTAACGTTTAAAACGTTTTTTGTCTTGTTCTGGTGTTAGTTATATGTCGAATTCTTTTTAACTCTAAGGATATTTCAACAAATATGTTATTTTTGAGAAAGAAGACTTGGAAAAGGAGATGTGGCTTTTTGTGTGTATTAAATTCATGCAACAACTTTAAGGAACAAAATATGTTTGTACTTTGGAAACAGATTTGAAAATCGCAAGGACGTTACCTTCAGTTGAGAGATCTGATGTCCTGAAAATTCACCACAATCTGTCCATTTTAATCCTTGTTCTCAGATTTCCATTGTACGTAATATATTTTGCATAACTTTAAGAAAACTCTTCCTACACTTGCTTGACACAACTGCCCGTTATGTTTCAAGGCATTGTGTGCTGGGATTTAGACAAGATGAGACTGTGTGTCTCCTGCCACAGATGTTCTCTCTCATTGCAACCTGAGCTGTGCAAAAGAGCAACTTTATGCTCAGCTTAAAATGCTAAGAAGTTTGGGCAGGGAAAGTTGGAAAGGAGTAGAGCCAGCCTGGAGGTTTGGAAGGTATCTGTTCCTGCACCAGACAGCTCCTACGTGGTGCTGAGCATGTATGGTCATGACTGGATAAATTTTCCCTGCTTTCTTTGGAGGGAAATGTCTCAAACAGTGGGACTAGATTTGCTGAAGCACTCTGCTTTCAGAGGTGTATTCTATTCTTAAATAGAGGTTGCATTCTGAATTTATAAAAGGTGGAAACTGCATCTCAAATTCAGCATCTAAAAGTTGAACACTTGGGGCTTTATTTCCTATGTTTTAGTTCCCCTTTGTTAAATGAGATTTTCCTCTACTTCACAGTTAATAGTAAGTTGATAGCTTTAGGCAACCAGATAATAATTTCTCCAATATTATTGTGATGAGATATGTAAAAATGACTGTGAGGACACGCATAATCCTGCATTTTTTTCTATTCTTAGTTCTGGCATTTTCTAACTGGGTGCTCATCTTTTCCACCTGGGCAGTTTTAACATTGTCTAGATTTTTTGAAAATGTGAACTATTTCTCCAAATATGCTGAGGGGTTTTTTTTGGGGTTGGGTTTTTTTTTTTTTTCAGTTTTGTTTTCATTTTGTTTTAATATTCCCCTCTCTCCTTTTCTGTCTCTGTGCAGTGGGTACAGCCAGGAGGTGGTTTGCTACACTGCAGGTAATATTCCTCAGACCCCTTCTCCACCAAGGCTCGTTCGAGCTGGTGTTACGTGGATCACACTGCAGTGGAATAAAGTAGAAGGATGTACACCAGAGGAAGTGATTTCCTACACCCTGGAAATTCAGGAAGAAGATAATGTAAGTACCATGTTACTTTAAAGTATACTGCCTGACTTAGATAGAGTTTTCATTTATTAATTCAAGATCACTGAGAATATTGCAGATTGCTGCTTTGGAGGGTCTTTGAGGAGTACTGGGTACTTTTCAGGATGGAGCTGTGAGTTTTGTTCTTCTCCACAGCAGAATTATGAATCCTTAACTAAAAATCTGTACTGTCATCCATGATTGCTTTACAAAGCTTCACAGGAGTCTGTAAGATGCAGGGCAGCTTGTTCTTAACCAGTTCAGTCTTCTGTGTTTTCTCTGCTGTGTGGTGTGCTTGCATTCTGTCATCTGTCACTTCTATTTCTATAACGTGTTAAATTATCACAATTGTTTTTGTGCTTATTTTACAACAAAATTATTTTTTTCGGGTCAGTAGCAACATCCTTCTAGAAGAAAAATTTTTGTGGCCTTGTGGCTTAAAAGTAAAAATAATAATAAAGCACTTGACTATAAAGCCCCTTTGCTATAATGTGTTCTAGCTACAGACTATAATACAGAGAGCCAATTTATGGGAGTTTGTTTGGTTTTGTTTTTTCTAGGATAGCGTGTTTCATCCAAAGTACACTGGAGAGGAGCAAGCCTGTACTGTGAAGAATCTCAGAAGGAGCACACAGTATAAATTCAGGGTAAAATCTTTATTCTCTTGTCATCGTGTAGTATTTTCTGTGTTGTTTTTTTTCCAGGCACTTTAGAGACCCTTTGTAGTACCTCCAAAACTGAGTCATCAAATACAAATTTACTTTATAATGTGACATAATAGTTAGTTGTATTTTTATTTTTATTGTGGGAGATGCTCACTGCTCAGCCTTTTTGAAACGAGCGTGGTTCTCGGTACCATGTACTGTCAGGCTAGGAGGTTGTAAAAGTGTGGCTTAGGGCTTGAGGTGGTTGTAGTCGGTTGCGTTGCTTCCCAAAAACCCGATCCATGGTCACAAAACCAATCTCACTTTAGGCAATGGAGAAATCGCTGTGAGGAGCCCGGCAAGCACACCTTCCTTCCCCAGCTCAGGGGCCTGTCCTCCCCTGACGTGCAGAAATTGAAGCTTTTCCATCTCATATGTACAGGTGGCTGGTTTTGGAGCTGTTTTTTTAGCAAGTGTTGGTATCTCCTGCTCTGCGGGTGCTCCTAAGTACAGACCTCCTCAACAAAGACGCACCGAAGTCTTCTCGAAGACGCAAAATTCAGCCATCTGCCTCACTTCTACTAAAGCCACCATGCACAACACAAGCGCTGGGTGCTGCTGCTGAGGAGAAGATGATGTTTTTTTGGTTTTTTGTTTTTTGTTTTTTTTACCAGACGGGCTGCGGTGCGGCTGTGTGTCCGTCTGTCCGTCCCCGTGGCGGAGCGAGGCCGGGAGCCGAGCGCGGTGACACAAGATGGCGTCCGGCCGCGCGGCCCCTCAGGGCCGTCCCCCCGGCGATGGCGAGGCGCCGCCGCGACAGGAACGCTGCCGGGAAGCAGCTGCCTGTCGTGTAAACTGTGCCGGGAGGGAAGGGTGCCATAGGTTTGTGTCAGTTCAAAAGCAGTTGGCTTCTGTAGGTCGTGGAGTATTCAGGAGCAACAAAAAAAAAAAAAAACAAACACACTTCACCCAAAGACTCGTTTAAATCCTTAAAAACGACTTTGCACGTATTCCTTCGTGGGACAGAAGGCCTTGTGAAGTTTCATGAAGAACTGCCCAAAGAATCGGAAAGTTGTTGCAGTGTCACTCAGAAATCACACCTTTTAGTTCAGCATCGTAAAAGCCCCTGGGACTGTCTGAGAGAAAAGGATGGTTAGTGATTCTCTGCAGTCCTGCTTGCAAATTAAACATGAATTTTACGAAACTGGGTTGATACCAGAGCAAACTTGCAGCCTTCCTGGCTACAAGAACAACTCTTATCTGACTCAGCACTAAGATGTTCCCTTATTGCATATGGACCAGCATTAATTAGCTGTGGAATTTGGGGAAGGATCCCCAAAACTATAAAATGAAACAAAAAAAAACCAAACAAAATCACACACCTGAGGATCACAGCAGTGTTTTAAAACTCACGATGGGCCCTATCTGGCAAGTTCTAGGCTTTTCTTTGAACCTGGAAAAAATACAGTTCTTTGTGGAACCCTCTTAATAATAAAGAATTATGGATGAAATTTAATTCATGCCAATTAATGTGTGCTTACAGAGGAGACATCTTGCTAACATTTTTGAGGAAATAAAGACTGGCTAAAATGACTATGGTAGTGTAATACATTGTTGTAGAGGCAATTCAGTGCTGAGTGAGAGTTTGTCACAGAAGGGCAAATGATACCAAAAACAGCACAACAAGGTGCAGAACTTCAATCTCTGAAGTGTTTAACATGTGGGCATAGAAGGGAGCCACCAGTGATTGTTTCTGGTGAGGTTCCACAAAAAGCAGTGCTGTGTATACTATTTCATAATTTTATTAGTGACATGGAAACAAACGGAGTTTTATCTTTATTCCTACCAAGAGGATAGGGTACTCGAGGTTGGGGAAACTGTGGCTCTGAAAAACTGTTGAAGGTCCTGCTCGAACAATAGGTTTAATATGGATTTTCAGTTCCTGCCAGGATAGTGCGATCTTTAGCTGTATATATAGGGCAAATGTATAGATGCTGCATTACTTGTGTAGCTCACACTAATTCCATAGAGCTGTTATTGGGATGTTTGTCTAACTCAAGTATCTGGTGTTCATAGCTAAATGTCTTAAATTGGAGAACAGTCAGAGAAGAACCAAGAGGTGATACAAGGGAATTGGTAGTGTCATTAGTGACTTGTTTAAAGCAAGCATATAGGCTGGAGAACTTCAGTTATATTTTTGGCCTTACAAATTGCAAATTGTTTTCTTCAGACACCTGTGATTAGGAGAGAGGATAGAAATGACTGCTTCTGAGAATAACAGAGCTTCCCAAGTGGAAAAGTTCCTGCTAGCTTATATTTACAATTATCAATTGTAATACATATTTTATTATTCACTTCCTTGGCAGCAGATCTCTCTCCCAGAGACTGGCATGAGCTAACACAGCTCTCAGCATCCACAAAACATTGGACCATTTGGGGTTTCTTGTATGATCCTGCTCCGCTTAGTCTCCTGGCCAGGTCCTCATGACTTCTCTGAAGTCAGCAGAAGGTGTTCTTGAATAGAGATGAAGGATTTGGCTGAGAAAGTTTTCTTTGTGCGCATCCTGCTTGTTTCAATGGCTGTATATTATGCATTTCTTGTTTGTGCATCATGCTATTTAAACTTTTAATTGTGTGATACTCTGAACTAATTCGTTTTAAATAACAGTTTGAAATACCTCCAGAACAAAAATAGCATAGTTACTGTCATCGTTTTCATCTTTTATGAGTAAATAACTGCAGGTTGCCATGTGACTTTTTTTAAAGGGAGAACCAGTAGTGATCTTAGCTTATACATGTCATGTTCTATTGCTGGTGGAGGGAGGGGGAAAATCAGCATGGTTTGTAAAGAAACAACGTGACAACCTAATATCCGTTATTAGAATCCCACACACTTTATTGGGATGTGACATACTTTCCAGTTTAATGATATCTGGGCAATTACTAACAGAAGTCTCATGCAGAACTGTCAGAAAAGCAGTTAGAGTAAGCAATGGTAAACTTGTTGTGGTTTTCTTTCAGCTGTTTGCTTCTAATGTGGAAGGAAAGAGTTCGCCCAGCGAAGTGTTGGTCTGTACAACAAGCCCAGACAGGCCAGGACCTCCAACCAGACCCGTTATTAAGGGGCCAATAACATCTCATGGCTTTAGTGTGAAGTGGGGTAAGCCAGTTCAGTTTTGTCATAGCAGAGCTTTTTTGGGTCATAATAAATACAAATAAAAATTATGTAAATATGTATTAGAACTTAGATTTTTCATGCTGCTTCTCAGTCCAAAGCTGAACATGTTTGAAGAGCTTGACGACTTAATTTCACATTTTAAAAGATGTGTAGAGGCTCATGTTTTCAGAATCAAGAATGTTGATTGTTTTTATGGACTAACTTGCACTCAAGTGCATCTTCAGGCTTTTCACCTTCCATTTCATGGCCTATTGCCACATGATTCCAGCTGCTTCCTTTATCAATAGCACAAACCTCCATGCTGCATCTCTTACAATGCTTTTTCCATACATTTTGTTTGTAGCATCATTATCCAGCTGCCTTATTCTGACTCATGCTGAAAAGTAACGTCTGCTACCCACTTCTGCTCTAAATTCTTTGGTGTAGTTAGTGTGGGGGAGTTTGTGGAGGCGAAGAAACAGAATCAGAAACAACTTTTGTGATCTTTTTGTTACATTTCACTCCTAATCTTGATTTACTAACAACTTGCCTTATTTTTTCAGATCCTCCACAGGACAATGGTGGTTCAGAAATCCTGAAGTACCTGCTAGAGATTTCTCAAGGAAGCCCAGAAGGTAAACTTGAATTGAAATAGAGAAAATTTGTTTCATTATGGCCACTATGAAGAAGTACTGACCCTTTGGGCTATTATTGTTATTATCATTAATGCACTAATGCTGCAGATATGATTGAATCTGAGTTACCTACCTGCAGAGTTCCTGGGAGAATTTGGGTTGGGTTTTGGAAAGGTTTTGTTATGTTTTAAAGTATGCAACTTTTCTCTAAGACTGGTAGAATTTTAGGTCATAGGGCTGGACCGACTGTTTGATTTGATATTTTTACTATATTTTAGAAATATTTATATTTGTAAGTATATATATATTTGTACATGTGTCTATGTATATTTATGCCTTTAAGTGGGAATAATATTCGTAATAATACTAACACTAATTACGTTCCTGAAATATATTGTCTGTGGAAGACCACACTGAGGATTTTATTTCTTCCTAAACACTGGTAAACTACTTGCATTATGCTTCTCTAAACTTGAATATATCTCAATTTTTAGCAAATCAATGGGAAGTGGCATATAGTGGATCAGCTACAGAATATACCTGTACTCACTTGAAACCAGGCACTTTGTATAAACTCCGGGCATGCTGTATCAGCACTGGCGGACACAGTCAGGTAAGTATTACTTAACAATAAGGACAGTTGGTTTTATATTTTTCAGAGGTTTATCTGCTATTTCTGGTAAAAGATTTCTACTTTAAAAAGAAGGTGAATGTTTTTCCTGTAGTACAGTGAATTTACGCTGATTGCAGTTAATCTTATGTTGCAGGTTGCTGAATTTTAGTAGATTTCTATGTGCACCTGATGTGGATTTTTTCAGGCAAATTGCAATTTAGTGAGATTTGGTTTCCGGAAAACCAATCTGTAGGTGTTTATGCTTATGCTAGAAAACACCATCATGTTTATCTGATCTGGCCACTTGCTTGAGAAAGGCACCAGACTCATGTACATGAGCCTGCAGTGACCAAAGCTGGTGACTGGAGATGCAGCAGGAGTAGTTTGTTGTAACAGTTAGGTACCTTTCATGTGGCTGAATTCTTCTTTAAATTTTTGGGTTCCATTTTCCAGCCATTGATTCCTGTAATTCCCTTATTTGATTTAAAATCATTTCAGTACCTACACTTTTATTCCCCCTACTTTGATTTTTTTTTTTTTTTTTTTTAATGACTGAGTCTTGTAGGCCTTGATACTATTTTAAAAACAAGAGAAAATAAAAATAAAAAACCCAAGCAAACTCACAATATTAACCATCAAAGTCTCCTGTGCTACAGTTTTGAGTATGATAATGAAAGAACTCTGTTAAATGCATTTGTAAGTAACATGCTTGATAGCATGTCCTATCCTTTATTGTTTATATAAATCTCAGTTGAGTGATTGTTGCAGAAAACAATTTATTATGCCACTTTCTAATCATGCCTCACTTTGTAGGTGGTAATTGTACTGGAGAGCTAACTTCACCTCATGTTCTCTTCCAGTGTTCTGAAAGTTTACCTGTCCGTACGCTAAGTGTTGCACCAGGTCACTGCCGGCCACCAAGAGTTTTGGGGAAGCCGAAGCACAAAGAAGTACAGCTGCAATGGGGTAAGCTGTTGGAGCATCTCGCTGTTGAATAGCTTTGATCTTCATGGTTAGTTGCCAGACTTGCCTTAGCTTTTATTTCTGTTGCTAGACTTTGTGAAAAGTTGCAGTATGTTCTGGTCACTGGGAAGTGCAAAGCAAAATCCAGTGCAATCTGTGCAGGTCAGAAGTGCAACTCCTCGTCAACTTCTCTGGCTCTGTATTGGGTTTCTGAACTTAGCTGTCTTCCAGCTGTCCTTTAGGCCTGGTACTGTGCTCCCAGTCCTCGTCCTTAGGACCTGTTTTTATGTCAGGACTATAAAGTATCAGCTGTATTAGAATATTTCTCCTTTTTTTGCAAAAACACCATGCGATTCAGGATCTTTTTTATTCCTTTGCAATATTGACTTAGCAGAAGTGTTTTGCTATTTCTAATGTAGGACTTCTCTCAGAAATTTGAGGTAGGACATATTGAGGATTTTGGATGGCATTTAAACCCTGATCCACAGGGTAACACACACAATCCATTGGACACCTGTGATTTGGCAAAGAACTTGGGCCATGGACATGACACTAAACTGTAAAAAAATGCACATTTTTCAGAATGCAAGGTATATGCCAGTATCCAACAGTTTTTTCTTTACTTTGGTAATCTTGTAGCATCCACAATTCTTTGTGGCATCATTTGTTATGCTAAATTGTCGAGCACTACCATTTCTAACTGACAAATACGTCTCAACACCAGTATAAAAATTCACCTGTGCATCCAAAATACCGTGTTGTTTCCTGGGAGACTGTACCCCTCACAGTGGCGCACTGCTTTTCAAAGCCCCGGGCAGGTTGATTCTGTGGTACTGACTTGTAATATAACGTGCAAATATTATCAAATATGTTATTTTCATAGGGAAAAAAGGAGCCTACATCAAAACCAGATATGGGCACAGAAAATACTCAGTTTCGCAAAAATCTGTTATTCCAAGTGCAGGGTTTGGATGATTGTACAGAGATTTAGAATCTCATAAATGTTAGCAGTGTGACTAATAAAGTTCAAGGATGGCAGTTGTTCATACTTTTATTGGGTGTTAACGATGATTTGCCAGAAATCCCATGTATAAGTAGTAGTTTTGGAGTGTCCATGACCCACCTCGGCCTGTGTCCACCCACAGCCAGGAGCCAAGACTGGGCCAGACAACCACCATGTGCCTCCTCATTTCTCTCTATCCCAGAAAGGATGTATTCAGCACTAACCCCATTCTTCTTGCAGCTTTCTATACCTTTTCTCCTGCCTCACTAATTGTTTCGCACACAATACCACCTTTGATATTGAGGAAAAGAAGCAGAGTACCTTTTTTCATCCTCAGAAGAGGGTGGTAGCTCCTGTGTTCTGCTTAAAACCTAGCTGGCACCTCCTGGTGTCGAAGACAGCTTCCCGGGATGACAGATCATTGCCCTGGGGGGAGCTGAGAGTAATTTTATTCACTTGCTTTGAAAATGTCAATCATGTACATGGATGAAATATTGCAGGTAAGGAATCTTGAAGAGGAAAATCATTGTTGGTAGAGTGTGTGTGTATAGAGATGTGTGTGTGTAGAGATACCTATACACATACACACACACACATATATTTCTGTGGTATGTGAAGTAAAAAAAATTAAATCTTCCCGGCATATGTCCTTATATTATTAATGAATTACATGATGTCTTTCTAGATATCCCTTCATCAGAAAGTGGCTGTCCCGTCTCGGAGTACAGCGTAGAAATGACAGAACCTGAAGAAGTTGTTTCTGAAGTGTATCACGGGCCTGATCTGGAGTGCACTGTCAGCAACCTTCTTCCCGGAGCAACGTATCGGTTCAGAGTGAGAGCTCTGAACGATGGCGGGGTACGTGCAGCGTGCCGGAGCGCGCTCCGGCTGTCCCCTCGCTGGAGGTGGTACTGGGCCTGAGGTGGGCAATTCTGGAAAGTGATTGTGCTGGTGAACAGAAAGGTAGAGGGGAGATGGGCAAAAGAAAATAAAACGAGCAATGCTTTAAGGAACTTTTGAGGCAGAGCTGCAGCTTTGAATCCGACACTCTTTTAAAAAGAGATTTCGGGTACTGATATGATGTAACTGGTCAAAATCAGCTGCACCAAAATGTGTAAAATCCACACTAATAGTCATGTCTGCTTACAAGGAGGAATCTGTTTATTCGCCTTCCACTGCATTCCTTCCTTTTGTTTAAATGTTTCTAAAAATATCGACTATCTTATTTTTGTGAAAAATGAACTAAATACACATGGAGAGAAGATCGAATTTGCTTGCTGGACTGAAAGCCATTGCCTACCTTGTAGCTTTGGATAAATGATACCTTGACTTGGTTTTCCTTTTTTTGACAAAACATTGTTTAAAGTTGAAAAGCATATCTAGTCCCACTCTTTTTTAAATCAGGGGGCTGGTTTGGTTTTGGTTGGGTTTTTCTCCCAGATGCAGAATGGAGGAGGGTGTTCTTTACCAGATGCAAACACCATTCTTCCTCCCATTTGGTAAAGAAAACAACAGAAGTCAATAAATGAGATCTTTTTTGGAAATGTGCATTCTTTGTAATTCAAACAAAGCGATCAAAGCAAAGCCTTTCTCGATAACGCAGATACTGACACATAGTCAGTTCATAATTTGGGGTTCATAATTTCAGTGTTTTTCAGCCTTTGTAGTAGCTCATTTTTTTCATACTTGATAATATTGCATTCCAAAATAAGTAAATATCAGTGGTTTTCTTCTAATTGCTTCCAGCTACGTTCCTTTGTTCTGGAGAATGATTTCTAATTAGCTTGGGGATATACTAAACAAACTTCATTATCCCACTCAAGAGGCCTGAGGAAGGCTATTTCCATTGTTATCTCTCTCCTGTCCTCACACTGCTGGCTGAAGCCAGTTTTCCAGACTCTTGAAAATTGTCTTTTCTTTTGCTAATATGCATTTAAATTATTCTCCTACAAAGGGCTCAAAAGCTGTCTGAGCAGAGTTGGCTTAGCTGCCTGTGAAGCTAGACCATACACGGCGTGTGTGCAGCGTGCCCCTGCATGTTGAACCCAGATTGGGGCTGCTTCACATGCTGTCCTTTTATAATTAATGTGTGGCAGACATTTTCTGTAGGGGAAGCTGGGTTTAGACTCTAATATGTGCTTTACTGTTGCTGTGCTCCTCCTTATATCCATGAGAAGCCAGTTCTGCTGAGCTACGGCACAGACATGCAAACACATTACTTATTTTAAGGTAAGGTAGAGGGACACAAACTGTTCCTCAGTTATTCAGTTGCTGAGCACACATTCTCACTCATGGGTAAATTGTAGGTGGCTCACGCTTTCATGGGCGCTCACTGGCTGCTCGTACCTGAGCTTACCTCACTTTTTAACTTGGCAGTAATTTACGTGGTCCATGCTGAACTCTGGTATTTGGTGCCGAGTGGTGGAAGCCCTGTCTGTCTTTGAGAAGATTTATTGCATTGAAAAAGTTCTTGTGCTGTTCTTGGAAAGCCTTTGAGATGGGTGTATGCTTATATATTAATGTACAGACACCTTGTTCCTCTCTAGTATGGGCCATATTCAGAAGCTACAGAAGTCACCACAGCAGCAGGACCACCTGGGCAGTGCAAAGCACCTTCCCTCTCCTTTCTGTCTGACACACGTGTACTTGTAAGCTGGGAGGTAAGTCAGGTGCCCTGATTGTTTAATTTCCATCTTGCTTATCCAAACTATTATGGTCACTGCAAAACTTAAAAGCTGGCTTGAGAGCTATTCACTGGTTTGAAACTTTTTTTTTTTTTTGGTGCAAGAAAACTGTATGCAGAAACTCTTCTGTTGTAGAAAATCATCTTTTCTACTTTTCTTCTTAAAGAATTGCATAAAGTTGATCATGAGTCATGCAGACCAGGATTAAGACACGAGACCTTCTACACAGGCGTCAGATGATAGAGCACTGGTCAGGTAGAAGTGCTCTCTGCAGGCTTTTAGCATGTCAGCGTGTCCTGGGGTGGAATTGTGAAGGCAAATATTTTATTTTGGCTGAAGCTGGAGTCTCTGATATGAAATTAACTCTGCACAAATGCTTATGACGTAGTTTTTTCTTTCTCAAAAATTGTTTGTCTCTTCCTCAAATATTTACTTTTATTTTAGTTTGTGTGCATTCCTTATCCATTCTCCAGAATCTTAGACATTGGACTCTTAAAATAAGTCTTAGCTGAAATGCTGAGGAGTTGATTGGTGTCGTTTAAAAAAAAAAAAAAATTGTAATTAAGGCAGAAAGGAAAGGCTGTTGTCATAAATAACATTGTGATATGGAGCAGTGGGGCTGTAGTTCTGCCATGGACTTTCTTTGTAAACCCAGCAGCTCTTCCAGCCCTCCGTCTGTTGGGTCCCTCCACAGAAGCGTGGCCCTGCTGATAAAGAAGTTATTAATCTTCTCAAGATGCTCAAATAAATTGGTTGGGCTAACAACAGATCTAGATACAAATGTAATCTGAGTTTAATTTTATAAAGAAACAGATGTGTTTGATACAGTTGGGGGCGTATTTGTTAATATTTCTTGCAACATTGATTGATGCTAAGCTAGAAGTCACACTGAACTTTTAAATGCTACCTTTTAAATGAGTGTATGGACAGGCATTTGCTCTCCCCAGCCATGAGCGAATGCAGCAGTGTTTCTGGTAGGCCCTGTGTTTATATGCAGGATATATTTGTTTATTCTAGCTAAAAATGAAGCTGTGGAAGGAGTAATGTGGTTTGCAATGGTTATGTTTTCTTAAAAAGTCTACTATTTTTTGTCTGATATGAATACGAAAGAAAACCAGCGGAGAAATGTGGAGGTTTTTTTGTCTCTGTGGTTCCTACTATGACTTTTTTACACATTGTTTTAAAATGCTGGCTTAGCAGTTCTGAATGTTCCTACTGAAATAGCTGGAAGGTCAGAGACAGAGCTGGAGAAGCCCTGTGGTGGTCAGCGTGGTGTGCAGCGATGCTCTGGATCCTTTTACTGGAGATCACTCCTTGCATGCCATAATCACAAAGTCTTTGTCATATCCTAGAGCACACTTACTCATGTAGAGAGCAGTGATGCCCCAGGCTGTTTCAGTCCACTTAGTTACAGCTCTAGTTTGGGTAAAAATTCAAAATACTTTGTTTTGGGAGCCATGCCGTTATGCCTACAACTAGCTCATGTCCATCAAATTCAGGTATTTATTCCATGTTCCCCTAGGCTTCAGGATGATAAAGGGATTGCTTGAGGACATGTGGATCCTGTAGGTGTCTTTTTGGGAACATTAATGTACCCAGGTCCACACTCCTGGGTCCCATACTGGGACCATTACCTTGATGGGAGACTTTGACTGAAAACTTCAGACAAGCTCCTTACTTGTTGAGGTGGTTTTTCTCTCAGTACTGTGAGTAACTACTTCAGGCTTGAAGGCTACCTCTTCCAGAGCTGTGTTTTGATCATTCTACTAGACTACACTAGGTTGATGCTCTTCTCTGTTCTCCATGGGTGTGCTTCTGCCAAGTCACTGGAGAGACCATTTTTTCCTGAGTGTCCCAATGAAAAGCAAAGCAGCTGCATACACTTTCTCATTACTGTGAATTTCTATCAGATATTTTTCGTGCAGAATTGGCCTATTTCAGTAACCAAATAGGGAGAACTAATTCAGTGCATTTCCATTTGCACCACTAATAATGTATTCATTTTAAAATAAGTGTGGTTTGTTTTGGTTTGGTTTTGTTTTTTTTTTTTTTTTTCTCCATTATTACTTACCCAGTGAAACACAGAGATCTGAATTGCTCATTTCTGAACTGAACCACATAAATATTTGTGTTGCAGAGTCCTGAATGTTCTGGTGCTGACATCTCTGAATACAGATTAGAATGGGGAGAAGATGAGGAATCTCTACAACTTGCGTATAATGGCACAGATACCTGTTTTGAAATAAGTGAATTGTCAGCGGCAGCGCATTATTGCTGTAGGCTACAGGTATGGAAGTTATGAGTTTTTGCATGAGTTGCAATCTAAGATCTAAACAGAGTTTCATTCCACTGTGTTTTTACTTTTATTATTAGTCACTATGAAGTTATGTACTCTCTAAGTCAGAAGGAATCTATGTTTATTTTAAATAATGCAGACTGTTGCTATATAACTGAATGGTTTAGATTTCTGGACAATTCAAAGTGATACATAAGGGAGTTGGTGTAACTTTTAGCTCTTGAAAGTTGCTCTTGTGTATTGTGTGGTTTATTTTCCGTGAATAATGCTTTTAACAGCCAACTTGCCCTCTGATACTGAAACAAAATGATGTTTTAGACCATTTCCCAAAAAAATAATTTTTTTCTTGGTAATGAGATGTAAATAACATCTGCCTCCCAACTGGATGTTGAAGATTCCCCCAGGTTAAATAATAAACTCTAACACCTGTTTCATTTATCAAGTAAAAGCAAGCCAGCTGAGTAGATTCCTATGTATATAGGAGATGGTAGCTGCCAGAAAGAGAGTCCTCATCTTTATCATTTTGTCTCTTAGATTTTTAAGTTTGTATCTCATAGAGAGGCTCTGTATGATTTCTTTCATCTCTTTCTCTCCTATTATTTTCAGTAAAAAGTAACAGTTAACATATATTTCATATATATAGATATGAAAATATAAATACAGCACTTTTTCTCCTTTATGTCCACTGAAAAATAAATGGAAAGTCAAGTAAATGGAGTGAAGTAAAAATATTTTTGCCTAACATACTCTTCCACAGGATTTATTTGCCTGTGAAGACAGAATACCACCAGTAAAGCTGGCAAAAGTTCATGTACCCACCCAGCTGGCAATGTGTGGACCGCCCAGGGTCATTCCTTTGATCAAGGACAACATGCTTCTGTCGAGTGTTTCCTTCTTAAATTTTTTTTAAACAGGATTTTGAATTTTTTTATTTTTATTTTTTTATGAAGTAGCTTTTGAGCAGCTGGCCAGCAGCCAAGGAGCTAGGGCCCCACACCTCTGAGTATACTCAACTGTATTTTCTGACTTGGTCGTAGCTGGCCGTATACCTTGCACTGGCACTGCTGGGGAAGACGAACTGAAAGAGCATCTGTGAGTGGCTTGGAAGTGTGAGCCAGAAAGTGCCTCTTGTTTGCACAGGAGGGGAGAGAATTCCGCATCGGCTGGGCAGGGAGGGGATCGTGAGACCATGGCTGCGGTGAGCGGCAGGGAGCTCAAGGAGGTTTTAATGTTAAAAATGGCAACAGCCAGCTCTATAGCATCTTTGATTTCGAGTGGGTGTTCATTTTAAATTACCTGCCACAAAAAAAGTTGCACAAATCTACTCGGCGTTTAACACAGCCAATATAATTTAATCCAGAGGCAGAAGCTAAATGAAATGCACAACAGCACTAAGACGTTTTATTGAATCCATCAGTGACCTATGCATTACTTTCTAGAGGACTTCATCCTCTAGATCTGATCTGTCTATTATATGGAGAAGAATTTGTGGTAAGAGACACTGGAACACTAAAGCAACTACAAAAAAAAAAAACAAAAAAAAAAAAAACAAAAAAAAGGAACAAAACATGTATATCAGACAAAGAAGGAAAGTTAAATAATTTCAGAAATTTTAGTCTTTTTTTTTTTTTTTTTAATAAAAGATTTAGGTGTTTTTCTTACCTGTTAGCAGCTTTAACAGAAGAGTCTTCTACTTTTTAAAAATAAAGATTCCCCAAACCGCATTTATTCTGCCTTCCAATAAATACACAGTATTGCAATCTCAAGCTACAGTAACTCAATAATAAGAGAGGATTGAGGAATCAGGCATATATAACTGCAGAGCAGATAATTTGTCTTTGCTGTTGCTCAACTTTTTTCCTGTAATGAATATTCCTGAAAACAACTGTGACTTCTGCAAAGGGAGGTACTGTGTCATTGGGGAGGGGGGCGGGGGAAGTATCTAGAAAGCAAAGAAGAATGAAATTCCCATCAGTTATGATGATGAGATTGTCCAGTAAAGCAGTTAAAAGCAGCACTGAAAATAAATGGCTTGGAGCAAGATAGAGATTGCCAAACGCTGGTTTAGAGGCAATACAAATAATATCATTGGCAGACCACAAAACAAGGCTCACTTTTAACAGTTCCAGGAGCGCTTCACTAAATAGAAGATGTCCCTGGAGCAGGATTTGTTTTGAACGGCTTTTTAAAGGCTGGCAAATCTAACTTTATTATCTCTTTCTTCAATTGAACAAAACGCCTCCTGGAAAAACAGAACATGGCTTTGTTTGTATTATGTATAGCAGAAATAAGTTATTCACTACAGTTAAGCATTGATAAGAAGTCAAACAGTTGTTTGACGTGTCCTTTCCTTGCCATCATAGTCCTACCGGCAACATTGTGAACCCAGTTTTTCTAATTAATTGTAATCTGATGGGAGACTTTGTGTTCACTTTTCTGAATGCAGAGGAAATGTGGATGTTGGACGATGCTGGGCGGTGTCAAAACCTTCTTTTGAAGGTGCAGATCTCCTGTAGCTCAGCCTGTACCATAATATGCTACCATAAACTCTCAACGTGCCTTGTGGGCTAGCAGCATGCCGGGCTGTATCAGGAAGAGCCCAGCTAGCAGATCAAGGGAAGGTGTCATCTTTTGCTCCAGGCAGAGGTTGAAATAGAGATGTTCAGATGAGATACAAAGAAAAAAGTTATCACTGTGCAGGCAATTAAGGATTGTAACGGTGGTCCAGAGGGACTGTGCTCCATCCTCGGAATTTTTCAGGGCCTGACTGGACAGCAGCCTCAGCAGCCTGGTCTGTGACCCTGTTTGGAGTAGCAGGTTGGACTAGGTGTGTCCCGAGGTCCCTTCTGGCCTGCTTGGTTCTGTGATTGTATGCACGGGAGCTTATAGTAACCCGGAGGAGGTAATGTTAGTCATTTCCTAGGCCATTCCAGTGCAACATGTACAGCATTTGCCACTGACTTGAGCATCGACTGGTAAAAAATCAGGTCTGTACAATTGTGCAATGTTGAGCTTTGAAAGACAACAGCCTCTGTAATTAATGAGCAGCAGTGGGCCAGAGTTTGAAACTTGTTACCACTGGGATCCTGGATCTGGGAGTCAAGATGAGAAGCTCGATAATTGGTTGCTCTCCTCTCTTGTGGAAAATACTGAGCTGTTTGCTTTGGTGGTGGTTTGCTAGTGATTTGTGACTTCTGGGGAAATCTGAGTCATAGACTTAATGGCATGCTGAGTTCCCATATTCTTATCTCAGAAACTTTTTAGCATGAAATGAGCTATCCATTCCCAGTTAGGAACCAGTGTATCTCTCAGCAAGCCAAATGCCCCTTATGTCTAGGAGTACTCTGCTTGCATAAAGCTTCTGATGTAGCACTCTGCAGTATACTGAGGATTTTACAGAGGGCAACTCGACAAATTCAGGTAGCCAATTTGCTGAACAACGTGCTATCACCTGTCACAGCATAACTGTGACATTTTCCTTTACTAAACAAAGTTTGCTGCTGATAAAAATGTTACTGCTAAGTTTGATTGAATAGCTATTAGGGAAAAGAGAAATATTCTTCAATTTATCTGAGAAATTCCTGAGTAACAAAGGAAGATATTAATTGCTCTAGTGTAGGTAGAGGATATGAGTCATGCTTTAGAGAATAAGCCAGCGGTGCATATCCTCTGAAGAATCCATACAACTCTTCCAGGCTGCACAGTTCATTATTATGAACTCAACAGACATGCGAAAGAGAACATTTATCCTGTAAAAATATATATATATATATTTTTTAATACACAGGCTATTAACCAGGCAGGAGCTGGACCCTACAGTGACCTGGTAACCTGCAGAATCCCCGCATCTGTGCCTGATGCAGTCTCTACCCTCTCCGTGCTGGAGGATGAGCTCGTGGATGCCTGTCAGCTCTCGCCCTCTGTGTGCCTTGTACTGAACTGGGAAGAACCATGCAATAACGGAGCTGAGATTACATCATACAACATTGACCTGGGTGACATCAGCATTCCAGTAGGAAACATTACAAGTTATGTTATCAATGACTTGCTTCCAGAAACCTCATACCGGTGAGTACAATTTTTTTTGATGTGGTACAGAGCACTCAGGATGAGATCACACAGTATAATTTTACATGGGAAATGTTTATGCTGTGTAGACTGAGTTTAAAACAAAAACAAAAAACAAACCACAGCCTCCCAACCAACCAACCTAGGGATCATAGAAATCTGAAATAATTCCTTTATGGAATGACTTTCAGTAGTTCATGTTCAAATATTGCTCCCTCCCCAACTTTTTCCACTTTTTCTTTTCCTTGTAATATCTCTGATCTCTCATTCTTTTTAAGTTGCTCTGCTAAGGGAGGGTTATACAGGTAGGTAAGTAAATTTAAAGAGTGTGAAATAACTAAAAGTACAATGTGGCATCTCATATTTTTTCAGATGCTTAGCAGTACTATTCCAAGGGTTTATATTATTAACGTTATTGATCCCTGTGACGGGATAGCAATTTGCATGCAATGAACTTTTATTTGTATAGCTACAGCTATTTTTTGTTTCTAACGTGGAGATTAATTAAAAGATAATTTGAATTTAAAAAAAAATTTCTTTATATTGCTTCAGAGTCTAAATTTCTAAGTGACATTGCCAAAATTTTATTATTATTTAATATTCAGGCTTATGTGTGTTTTTCCTAATTACTAATTAAAAAAAAAAAAAAAAGGTTCCATGCAGGCTGTAAACAGCAATACAGCAGAAGATCTGACAAACAAATTTCTATTTTAAGTACTGTTCTAAGAAAAACTAAAATCTGATTGCACAGTTGTAAAATTAGACGTGGCAGAGACCTGTAATATTTTTCTCTTAATTTGTAATCAAGGTCACAATGCTACTGGTCTTGCAGAGTTTAAATGAAAAGTTAATTTACCCAGCTTTATCATGTACCTAAAAAAAGAGAACTACTTGTGGCAATTATACAGATATGTATACTAGAAGTTATTTAAACCAAGGAACATAAATTGGTTGCAGTGCCTAGTACAGTGGTTCCTCATCTTTGCCTAGAATAGCTAGGTTTTCAAACCGTGTAATAAAAAGTAAAGATGTAGATTTATTAAATATATATATATTTTTTTTTTTTCCTCTGGCAATCTGAAAAGAAGGCAAAATAGGAATATGGTGATTCAGAACCCCTCCATTCCAGATCAGTCATATGAGTCCGGGAAATGTGACTACATTACCGCTGTCTCCGGTTCTTCAGTGGCTTGTAACGCTGTGATCGTTTTTGACAAAGGCAGTAATGAAGTATAATCTTTTTCTGGTCTTCTGCTGTGTTTAAGATCCTACTTTTGTGGTCAGTTTATGCTAGCGTTGCTGTCAAAGGAAGCCTCTTAATCCCTCCTTGTGTTATTCCCTCTTTTGTGCCGACAAAGTGCTATCATGCCATTTCAGACTGGGGAAACTGCTCCTGTATTTTTTTACCTTGTAAATGGGTAGAGAGAAGAGAAGGCCAGCATGTCTTCTAGCAGATGTGCAGGCCTAAGATAGTTCAAGGTATTTGTGAAAATACTGCACCTGAGTAAAGCTGCACAGGGGTTTGAGCCAGTTGAGGTTGGTGTTGTCATGTTCTGACCTCCCTCCGTCTCCGTGTTCTCGCGCCTTTCTCACTCTGCCTTGCATCAGCACTGGTGCTGATGGGATCTTACTCTAAGCCAGTCCAGGAAACCCAACTGGCGGAAGGCTAATCAAAAACCTAATAAAGCTAATAAGAAGTTGAAGAGTTTGTATATGGACTGGCTGCCCAGCTGTGGGCAGTCTCGTACTCCCTGGGTTCTCCTGATAGGCTCAATCAGGAGTCAAAACGGCTAAAGCAAAATGAGAGCTTTGAGCAACACAGTCAAGAGAGCCAGAATGGACCATCTCAGTTCTTTGCTGAAGGTTTCCATCTTCGGTCTCATTTTTTAGCTGATTCTTGGTTACCTACAGCTTCGTTTAAGGAAATTTCCTTGTTTTCAAAGCCTGGAAATTGAAACCATATTTCAATGAAAGGATGAGCAAGACATTACTCTTCTTGGTAATCATGCTGCAGTTTGTCCCTGAAGCTCTTACTCCTACTGCTATTAAAAGTGTTGTTACACTGAGATCATCCTGGATTTTTTTTTTTCTTTTTGCATTCTTATCTTGTTGTTTTGTAAAAAGCACCATATTAAATCACGTATTTTTAGTCAGGGATTCTGACTGTCTCTAATCCAAATGAAAAGGCTAAAGCACGAGCATTAACTGCAACTGTTCTAAATATTGTTGTAAAACTAAGTTCCTACCAAGAAAAAAAAAATTTTAAAGTGCACAAACCAGTCAATGACTAATCAGAAGTAATAATGTATAAAAGCTCTTTTCTTTAACAATACAAGAGAAAAAAAAAAATCTTGCATCCCATGCCTGTCAGGGAAGACAAGTGACTGCAGTTGAGTTGCAGAAGCACCTCATCTATAGCTTGAAGTATTTTTCTGCTAATAAAAATAGACATGTCAAAGTGTTTTTGCTATCAATCGTTAAGTCTTTCATTGATATTTCTTCTTCAAGCCTATCTTGACACCTGTCTTTCATTATGGAACATCTGTGCCCTGATAAATGTATCTGTAAAAACGTGTTTATCTGGCTGTATGCTAAAAGGTGGTGGGGTTTTGCCTTCCCTGTTTTAATCAGAAGGGTGTTTCAGAACATCACTGATCTCATTCTCTAAATTTGTTCACCAGTGTTTTTTCATGTCAACATTGTTTAACTCAACTAGCTCTTCTCTCTCTCTTGTTTATTCCCTGCTGTGTTTAAAAGCAGTGAATGTGTTTTCTTCCAGGCCTTGTTTTTCCTAGACTAAACAAGCCAAACACTACTGGGTTTGAGACTCTGAACTCTCTTGCCAAAGTTTCAGCAGAATTTGAAGTAAATCAGCAAAGGGCTCATATGCTGTAGTTGCATTGGAATTTCACTGTCAGTGTTTTCATTTGTGGGAACCCAAAACTGAAAGCAAATCATGGTTATTGTGAATCCACCAAGTTCAGAATTGGAAAGGAACGTTGTTTTGCTTACGGGTGTGATTCTGAGAGCGTGTCGACGTGTGTCCACCCTGTTGGACTTGTGAGCTTAGGTCTGGCATCGCTCTGCAGCTTCCACTTCTGCGTGGGAATGGCCGTACAGGAGCAACTCAAGCACTTACTGAGCAACCTCCAGGCTCTTTGCAGATATCGGCTCGAAGTTGACAAATTTGATGGTTTCTGTGTCCTAGTACCAAACCCAGCCAACATGCCCCAAGAAGGATTTGCATCCCAAAGTATGTTCAAGGCAGGAGGAGCAGGGGCATGTCTCTGCCGTGCTGCTAATGGTCAGCGTAGGGCTAATTTCAAGAGGATTTCTCTGGTGTCAGACGCAGACCAGCACTCCTGTTGCAAAGAGCAGATGCTTCGCTAAAGCACTCCGTAAACCTCGTTGCTGGTGAGCAGCTGCAGAAATATCTCTGAGAGTTCTGCAGTCTTTCCATTCTATTGACATAGCCATGAAGCTCTGGAAGATCAGATGATGATAGCGTAATAATACTTGGACTGTTTTTCTGTGAACTGATGTTACTAGAAGTGAGTTAATAAATATTCCACAATAAATAAGTATTCAACAGTAATAGAAATACCAATTTTCTGTTACACTCTGTTCCCAAGCTTCACTCAACACTTTCGGTAGCTAATTGTGCTGTTGAGATACTTCACTGCAAAAAAACCTGTGATTTTTAAGAAGGCTTATTTTCTTCTGCAGTGACATAGTTTACAGGAATACATAGGAGCCCTATTAAATTTTAATAGCAACATTTAATTTTAATTTGGTTTAAGAATAAAAATTCTAGACATGTTAAATTTCTAAACTATATCAAGGAAAAGATCTTCCAAGATGAAGAGAGAAGAATGCACATGGATGCTCGTTAGCAATGCTTAGGTGGGTTATAAAATAAAATTTATGCTTCAGAGTATAAAACTAAGTCTTGTTCCAGCCCCAGAAGAGTGCAGTCTGAGTGGGGACCCGTGGGGCTGGCTTGTCCAGGGCGCTGTGTATGGTCACTATCCATTAAATTTAGGCTGCTGCTGCTGATGGAGCGTGCTGCTTCTCCTTGCTTTTGAAGTCCATGGCATTTTAACTCCCTCAGGTTTCCACAGGCACGTGTATTACAACTGGTGGCGTTCCACTTATGGGAACTAGCAAATCAAACTCTTCTCATGTCAGACTCTTAAGATTAAGTTGAAAGTTGATTTTTCAGTTTGCTGGAATACTATACAAAGGATTTTGTGACCAATCTGAAAATAGCATCCAGTTCAGTGTGTTTATTTTCCTGGGTCAAGAATCTTATAAGATAGAAAGGTCTGTTAAAGATCTTTAGATGTTTTCTAAATTTGCCTAGTCTGATCTATTTTTTTCTAAATGTTTAAAAGATGCGGTGGGAAAATGTGAGAATGAATATAAATATTATTGGTCCGGGATCTGCAGAATTAGGTACCATCCCTAAATACAGTCTTTACATATTCAAAAAACTTATTTTCAGATTGTGATTGTCAGATTTTAAAACTGCCTTTCCAAGGTGGTGTTTGAAGTATTTTAAGTTGGAAACCATTAGTGAAAAAGTTGAAAGGAATTCAGGAAGTGGTTTTATTGCAAGTATTTCTACATGTCTATATACTACTTTTACACAAAAATAAAGAATTGATTTTTTTTTCCCAGTATTGGTTCTCTAAACAGTAATTAGTTTCCACTTAATTGTGGAAGTTGTCTTACCCACCATGGCTGAGCCACCCAGCTGGAGTAGCTCAGTGTCGCAGGCTGGAGCAGGGATGTGAGAAAGCACCTGGGCTGGAGCAAAGATGCTGCAGGACAAGGTGTTATCCCCCCACCCTGTGCTCTCCCTCCTCCTCCACGTGGCCCTCCTTTCTCCGTTTTCTTTTCCCTTCTTCCTTCTCCCCCTTCCCTGTGGACATTTCTAAGGCTTAATATCCATTGAGACACTGCTGTGGTTCAGGGGGAGGTGGGAGCTGGGTCTGGGTTACGCTGCCACGTTCACAGAAAACCAAAACTAGTTGTTTGTGCCTGTCTGAGAAAGCTCAGGACCTGGGAATGATAGTGGCAATTTATAGAGTTTTATGGTGGTGTAATCAGCCGAAAAAGGGGTAGCCACATCCAGCCATATTGGAGTCAAATAGATGAATTTTTGTTTTCCCTATATCATCATTCATCTGGAAAGATGCCTGTCTCTATTTTAAGGCTTAAGAGTTTCCATCAGTCTTGCTGTGCTCCAAAGTCAGAAGTGGTGTGTGTGGGGGGTGCATATTTGTGGGTGTAGGAAGGCAGGAGCAAGAAAGCCATGCAGCAGATGAAAGCAACAACAAATGAGGGAAGAGACACATTTTTGCCTTGTGCAAAGGGAATAAAAGTAAACGCAAATGTATGTTCATGCACACACCTGAAAAGCACATTTATCTGCTTCTGCTTAAGAAATGTCATGTGATGTTTGAGAAAGATTCATTTCAGTCACTGTTTGTTTTCAAGCGTCTTAACTGCTATTTGGAAATGAGTTGAAGTTACAGTGCTTGAGGACAGGAGAGGCTTTGTTGTTTCTGGGACTTTGGGTAATACAAAATAAAAGAAAATTAAAAAGGCCATGCACTCTAGAGCGTGTTGCTGTAATCAATCTACAGAAAAGTAATAGCATTTTGTAATATAGCTGTTACTGTTTATGTGCATATGCTAATGGGTAACTTGCCAGAATCTAGTGAAAGTTAAGTTAGTTTTCACCTTTTTTTTACTGGAAAGACCATTAAATATTCATGTAATGAGTTTTCAATCTGAAGTAAACCAATAACATAATATGAAATAAAATCAATGCCTGTATTAATTACACTTCTTAAGATACTAGAAAAGACTTTTGTTCTTTTTATGTCAGATGCTTGTATGTAGCAGTTGCAGAGGAGGCTCCCAATGGAACTTTCTTCCCACCCTCCACCATTTTGGAGGAAGAGGATGAAATCACAGTTGTGTAGTGTTGTAAGATGGCCAGGATGCATTTCCTGAAACTGAAAGAAAGATTAAAAGGAAAATGCAGTTCCACGCTAAGCAATACTTTACCCTTGTTAATGGCTAGGTCAATAAGGAAAGGTTTAACCACACATTTACACGACTGTAAACACAGCATTCTTACAGTGTGCAGTTACTTTAGCTGCCTAATCAGTAAATAAAGCTCTATTATTTTGTGATATGCTTATTAATCATTTAACCCTTTTTGTTGTTGAAATTGCAGAAAATACAGTTTGTTGGGTTTTTTTTTGATTTGGCTTGTTTTGTTTTTTTTTTTTTATAATGGGGAATATTGCTCTCTGGAGGGTTTTTCCCTATCCCTTTAACTGTACCTAATCTTTTTCTAATGGTAGAGCTGAAAACTTGAAGTTCAAAGCAAAGTGATTTCTCCAATGTTGTTTATATGAATTTACATGGCTTTATGTACTTGGATAAAAATAAATAGCTATGCCAGCCAAAGACAGCTCTGTTTATCTTCTGCTTTCTCTGAAGCAGGCAGTCATGGGAGTATACCAGGTTCTGCTCTTTTCCCTTCTGCCTCTGCCACCTTCCCGAGGGACTTCTGGCTTCTTGGTGGCTGATAGTTTTGAGAAGAAGCAACACTTCTTGTAAAGAGTCTTTTCCCATGAGAAAATACTAGGCTGCTCTGCAGAGGATTTCCAAAGTAAATGGCATCTGTCCAGCTATCTGAACTGGGATGAACTATCTAAAAAATATAATTAGTTTGCCCATGCTGTTTTCTTATTTTCACTTTGGTTTTACAAACTTCTGAAACCTTTCAGGCTCATCTGTACCAATGTTTCTATTTACACAGTCCTCAAGACTCTTTCAAAATGCGTATTTCACATCTTTGCTATGTTCTTGTTGTTGTTACCATAGTAAAGGACTACTACTCTTTACTCATTCCTGTAAGCAGATTCTCACTGTGCAAATTATTAAACTAAAGTACAGACAGATAAGAGAAAGTGACAAAGCAGAAGCCGGGAGTCAGTATCTTAAGAAAGACAGAATTTAGAAAACTGCCTCAATCTTATGAATATTTTCAAATTAAAACTTCTATCACTAAGTAGGTGATCTGCTTTTCTCTTCTTCTAAATGTCCTTAATGCAATTCAAATGTCTCAAGAGCTTTTGTGCATCTTGTGAGAGTGACTTCAGTCCAACTCTTATTTGATCTAACAAATAGTTCACTGATGGTTAATATTTCCAGTTTGTCTAAGATGTGTAGAAGGTTTGTGGATTTAACCTTCTCAGCTCTTCCCAATGGAGTTTCATGTGCTTAAATAGTGTGCTTTGTGAGATGCTGCACACACTGAAATAATACTGTTCTTTGGTCTTCAGAGATATTTACTAACATGGAGATGGGTTTCGTGGCACTGACACCAATGCTTTCACTTAATGTTCTCACCTAAATTAGTCCATGACCTTTGTTAGACGACCACAACACACTTCTGCATTTTATTTATTCATATTTACACGCTGCATGTTTTCCAGGCTGCACTTTATCTGTGCCGCTGCCCCTTGTTCATGTGGTTAAAGGGACTGCCATCAGGTTCTGAGATTGCTTACCTAAATCTTCCCCCCTCTGCCTTACTGCATTTCTTGATATCTTCACCGCAGCTCTCACAATATAAACATAATTTTACGATGCAGAGCACTGGTAGCTGGGAGTGGGCACTGTGTTAGTGACAGAGCAGTCAGGTCCAGGAGGTTGTTTAGTTTCTTGAGACTTTTTTTATACCAAGAACCTCGTGAAAGCACTTTATTTAACATCTACCTTCTTGTTGTTCATTTTAGGATCAGGATCCAGGCTGTCAATGAAATTGGAGCTGGACCATTTAGCCACTTTATTAAAGCAAAAACCAGGCCGTTACCACCCTTACCTCCTCGGTTAGAGTGTGCGGCAGCAGGTCCTCAGAGCCTGAAGCTGAAATGGGGAGACAGCAGTTCCAAGCTTCACACTACCGATGATATGGTCTATATCTTACAGATAGAAGACAGAAATAAAAGGTAAGAGATATGAATCGTTTCTTTCTGTTAATGAAAATGAATTCTGGTTCATCATAATGCAGTTGTGAATCACGGTAAGAAAAATGTTATTTTCCTAATTACTTTATACCTACAAATATATACAAAATACTGTTTTAACTGGGATTTTGTGCCTGTAGTCTAACTGAGCAAATTATGTTACAAAGCTGTTAAAGCTGTTATAGAACCACCAAAATCAGTGCTGTACTGTTGAAATTTTAGCAAAACCCTGTCCCCTATTTCAATAAATTACCAAGTTTCATGGTCATAGTGCTTTACCCTTTGGAATAAACAAAACAAAGACATTGCATCCAAAACACTGTGTGTATTAATAAAACAAAAGGTTACAGAATGAGAGGTCTAAGGAAAGCAAAACTGAGCAGAACAAGGTTTTTTGGGCAACATGGTGGTCAGGACTTTACAGCTGAACGTTAAGTAGTCAGTGCTCAGCAGTAAGTATTTTCCCATGCAGACTTTGTATGGGAAGGTTTGATAATGTAGCTCCAAAGTTGTGATGAGATATATTCAATAAAAAAAGGGAAGGAAAGACAGACCATATGTGAGTATTGCCTAACAGTTTGAGCTCTTCAGTGAATAAATTATCATAGAAGGTTCATAATTTACTAAGAAACACTCTCAACTAGTTTAATTAGGTAAAATAACTGACGTATCAAGTAGATAATCCTTAGAGACCTAAAGTACAGATCATAATTTGGTGTAAATTAGCATAATTCCTTTAATTTAAATAGAGCTGTGCTGAGTTTATGCCAGCTGAAGATCTGGCCCAGAAGCTCTAATTGTAAGTAATAAAACCACCATGAATAATGCCTAAATACCTCCCAGTATCTCGACTGTACCGATGCAGAGAGGGTACATGCTCCCCTGTATTAATACTGAGAGGTGTCCAATGAATATAAATGCCCATTTGAAAGTCTGACTGATAAAAACAGTTCCTTTGGAGTGCAGTGATGCTTGGCAGGAGCCCATCACCTGCAGCAGCATGTGATCAAGTCAGCTCTAAAGAAACATCCAGCAGGCTTCTTTTGTTTGCTTTCATGTAGCACTGCAGGTAGGATGGTGAAGAACTGCAAATTGTTTTAAACCTGTTTTTATGTTGGAGAAAATAATAAGTTTCCTTTTAAGACTAAAATACGTTATGTTACCTGGCAGCGGAGAAGGAAAGATTTTTCCCCTTTGCTTTTGCACAAGGCTTTAGCATCTTTTGAACAAACTTTTCCCACTGCAAATGGTCTCTTAAAAGCTGTTAATTAGGAGGAATTTTAACTTGTTGCTCTGCTAGGTTGTCTTAGCTTTAAGTTTGGTTTATTAATCCATGTGAACAGAGAAACTACTCGTCTGCATTGCACTGTCTCCTCTTGCTCAGAGTCCTTGCATGAAATGGCTCCCTTTGGTGGTTGGGATTGTATCAATTAGTTCAGGTAATAGCTGAAATGAGCCATAGCCCTGAGCCCTGGGGTGACGCAGTGGTCCCGGCAGGGGCACAGCAGGGGAGGAGAAGGGCTGCCCTCCCGTCTGTGCCAGGCGCTCTTCCTGAGAACAGTGGGAGCTGGCACGTCTTGGCAATAAGATCTATTTGTTTGTTCCCTATCTGACAGTCCCTTTTTGCTTCCCATTGTGTGGATCGATCACAGTGAGAGATGTTCCTGAAAGGATGTGGCGGAAGTTTTGTACATTCAGGAGAGCTATCATTCCTAATGAGCAGAGAGTGACAGCCCACATATGAATTGGTAGAAAGAGCAGTTAGTTACAGAGGTAGGAGTCCTCTCTTGGACCATTCCCATAAAATGAACCCCCTCATGACTGAGGGGTTACTCAGCCATGTGTATGCTTGTGAAAAATCCTGGAACGCAGGTTTTTTTGAGCAACACTGGCCTCTTTAATTGTGCAGTGTTGTAACGGACTAATGCAGGTAAACTGTGGACATGTAATGGAATAATTAAATGTGAGTCTCTGCTGAAAAATGACACCGAATAAATTATTTAGAAGGATATTTTTGAGCCTTTTGTGGATTGAAAGGGTTGTGGGAAGGTTCCCCTCTTTTAGAAAAGAGATAGCACCTGACTCTGGGGTGAGTCTGTGGCATAAACAAGTATAACTTAGAATTGACCTCTATCATATCCTTAGTCTTTTGGAAGATATTGTTACTTACTGTCTTCTCCTTACATCTGAAGTTACTTTTATCAGCTTTATATTGAAATCCCTCAATTCAGTGTTGCAGTTTTCCCTTCTTTGGTGAATTTGAGCATGCAGTTTGCTTATTGTAATGTTGCTTACTGCTGAGGTTTAAATAGGAGTTAGCTTTAAAATGCCACTGAAACTTTTTTACAAGCAGAAATATAGATGAGCAATTTCTTTTCAAAAAAGAAAATTGTCAGTAAGTCAAATTCTGACCCTGATATCTTTTAATGGCCTTGTTGTAAAGATTCAGCTCCTGTTTTATGCAGTGATAGTCAGCCAGTGCTCTTGAATGTGTCCTTGTCATTAAGATTTGTTTTTAACTTCTCCATGCTGTAATGAGGTATAACAGGCCAGTTGTTGGAGACTAAATGTTTCATTGATTGCAAGACCTGTGAAACAAAATACTTGGAAATCTTCTGACACTGATTAATGTAGGGGCTTGAAAAGGTGTGCACATCAGAAATGTACCTGTTATAGCTCTCATTCGCTCTTCAGTGTGTGACATTTAGGAAGATCAAATTAGCATCTCTTGTCCTTTCAATTATGTGTAGCATTAAGTGGAAATGAAGAAAAATCTGTTTCTAGAAAGCACAGTACATGGGAACGCTAGTTGAGAGTAGTTGACCTTTATGTAAAGAGGGCTATAAAATTTCTTTCTTTTTTAAATAAACTATCAGTTGTGACTTCATTTCCTAACCCTAGTAATGTCAAGAAAATCATGTTAATCAAGTTGCACTGTCTTCCAGAATACTGTGGATTTTTCCTCTACAAGTGAAACATATGAACCTAATTATAGTAATGCTTTTGAATTTTTTCCTGTACTGGTAATTAGTCTTCAGTTGTTCCGACAACTAATTGTACCTCTATGTGTCTCAAAATGCTCACGATATCCAGTCTGAAGGAGGGAATTCACAAGTACATTATTAGCAGGGCATTCGTCAGTTGCTTCTGTTCCTTTTAGGTGAATATGTATTGCAGTTGAGATGAATTCTGTGATTTTTGCATACGCATGAAATCCAAGTAAAAATATATTTTATGGAGATAGAATATATTAAAATATATATATATTCTCCCTTAAAATATAATTATATAATTATTGGTAAGATTGGCTAAGGAGCAACCTAAACATAGTCTTTAAAAATACCATTGAAGTATCATTGACAATTCTTAGTAAATCTGCTTTTATAAGTGAATTGTAAGGGATGGTGTTTACTGGCAGTCTAAACTGTAATAGCTTTTATTATGTTTATTTACTGAATAAATGAGTTATGATCCCATATCACTAGGTAAACGGTAGTAGTATTTCCCTCTTGTATCATATGAAAGATTATTTATGTGGGTATTATACTGTTTTAAAATGCATTGCTAGACTATATGTGCTTACCATTTAAGGAGATACTACTCTTCAATATGAACGAAAAAATGATCACAGAATAGAATTTGTGGAATGATTATATGAATATAATTAATTGGGCACAGTCATTGTGCACACACTGTTTTTCTGGTTAGAATAGGAATGTCCCAGAGACCACAGCCATATATCGATGTAGCTGTGGAAACTTCTAGCAAGCAATAACAGTGGTAACCAAATGACATAATCCCTTGAATTGATTTCTTCTACTTGGAATTTTCCCTTAACTTGAATATTTATTTCAGGAGGCGTCGCCCCTTGCACTCCTCATCCCAGGAGTGCCTGTTACTGTGGTGCAGGCAGCAGAGGACATCGGAGCTGTAAGCTTTGGTAGACTCTCAGCTCCCTTTCAGTAGCTCAGGTTGTCTTTCCTCGCTCCTGCTTGGCAGGCTGTGAACAGCCTGTTGAGCCTGAATATGAACAGGGGAGACATGCAAATTTTTCCCGGTATCCAAGGGAGATGTATTGTCCCATCCGTTCCAGTGCCTGCTAACCCAGATGTTAGTGATGCTCCTGGTAGTGCTGTCTTTTTCAGTTGTGTGGTAAGCTATTTCACTGTTTATAGAAGAGAGAGTTTTATAAGAAAGAGAGAAAAGTATATTGGAAAATATTGGCGTAGATTTTTATAAAGTGAGAGGAACCAAAAAGCACTTGTCAGGAGGTGGTTTCCAAGGAAAATTAAAACATGTTTTGAGCAGTAAACAGTAAAGCCAGTGCGAAGACACAGACGGGTTCATTTTTTCTGCAAAAAGGTTCAGTTTTATGAAGCTCCTGGCTCTTCCAGTGATTCTCCCACCTTTCTGTCATTTTCTCCCAGTGATGCTGGAAACCTTTTTGCCCCAATCATGCTGAAGTTGTATATAGAAGAAAAAACTGTTTTCCCTTCCTTCCAGCACAGTTTTTGTGACGTAGTTACTTCTTAAAGGAGTCTAACAAACAGCAGAGAATGCACAAATGAAATGGAGACTGTTTGTCACAGTGCCCAGTGCAGTTTCCCTGGCTGTAAAAGTGGACTATCATATCTGATGGTTTGGTCTAAGCACCAGTCTTTGCAGAAGGGTTAGAGCCAAGTACAGCGTTCTCTGTGTTAGGAAGTGGTCATATATATGAGCCTTGACATGTATGCCTGCTCTGCATTAACATGAAGGAAGGTGGAATAGAAACACAGAGAGATAAAGTGCTAAACGTGCTGCCTTTGCCTGATGACTAGCATAATCATTATCTGGTTACTGCAAGTTGCAAGCAGTCTAATTAAAAAATTGTTTACACTCATGATTCGATCAAGACAATTTACACCCATTTTAGCAGCAATTACTGATACGTATCAGGTCTACTGGTTTGTGAAATTCTATTAAAATATAAAATTAGATAT